TTCTCAACAGGGTACGAGTGTCATGGGGCCTGTGCAGAGGTGGACTCTGACACCGAGGCGGTGGCCGGCCGGGGCTTCAAATTGGGTTGCATCTCCTGCAAGAGGAGGAGTGAGGTAGATGGTCGTGCCTCCATCCAGTGGTACTTCAGGCCCAAAGGAGAGGCCGATTTTTTTCATGTGAGTACAAATCAGCCACTGGTGCTGCTGAAGAATTTCTATGCCAGCACAAAATGTAACTGACACAGCAGACCAGAGTACAGGAAGGCTTCGTGCTTCTGGAGGAGTTTTAGTCGCGCAAGCATCCTTAAAATCAAACTTGTCCTAGGCTACATTCCTCAAGTCACAAGCTATTTATATATGCATATATATAGTGCACACCCAAGCTCTCTTTCTTCCTCTCTTTCTCTGTCTCATGCACGCACACACACACACACACACACACACACATACCCAGTGCTGAGGTCGTCACGAGGTTCATATGGAATCAATTGTGATATTTTACACCACAGAGATTATTAAAGCTCCAGAGATTGTTTGCCACTGGTGTGCAAAAGGTGTTAAAGGTCCAGTGTGTAACATTTAATATAGCATTCATAGGTGTGTTTTAAGTAGCGTATAATCACCTGAATATAGGAATTATTATGTTTTTGTTACCTTAGAATGAGCTGTTTTAATCTACAGACGCCACGGGTCGCCTTCTGTGGAGTCTGCCATGTTGAGCCACCATGTTTCTACAGTGGAACAGAACAGACAAACCAAACACCGGCTCTTGATGTAGTTTCTCCTGGGTGTGTGGAAGTGGAGGGTGAAGCGAGAGATCTGCAACTACACTGCTAGACGCCACTAAATCCTACACGCTGGCCCCTTTAAAAAAAAATCAAACTTAATTGATCTCCATAGGGGAAACTCTCATTTAGCCACAGTACAAGAAACAGTCCAAGGAGGCACGAAACATAAATAATAATTTGGAATAATACATACAACAAAAGAAAGTACAGAAATTACATTCAAAATATAAAATAAACGTGCAGAAGTGATGAGTTTTCTGTGGGGCTGCACGATAGCTAAAAACACATTATTTTGACAGGTTTTGGGATTTGATTCAGGATTAGTGAGAGACTGATCATTTTTGCATCACAAATTAAAATCTTAACTGAAAAAAATTAAATCTTCTGGGGTCTCCTCCGAACAATCTTAAATCTGAGGAACAAGATTTATAGTCCAGGGTATCTCTTCAGAACTACAGTACTTCATTATAATACTGTTTTCTTACACTTGGCCACATTGCGATCTCAATAATGTTTCGATGAACTGTGTAGCCATATTTTTCGGTCACAGCAGCACTTTGATTAACCTTGATGTCTCCCTGGCAACCAGATCTACACCTACAACGAGGATGGCCCCACCATTGAACACGACCAGTTTTTGGACCGCTTGGACTGGAACGGCAGTAAGAGGAGCAACGACATCCAAGATGGGTCCATTTACCTGCTCAACGTCACCTTCAACGACACGGGCACCTACAGCTGCTTCTTCAACCGCATCCTCTTCTACGCTAACTACGAGTACAACACTGTTGTCACCAAGGTGGTCCACCTCAGTGTGGTGGCTAAAGGTAGGATGAAATCAACTGCAGCGCTCTAACTATTGCATTGCTCTGTAACGATAAGCATTTAATGGATGGTCAAATGTAATGTAAGTTCTTTACACAAGCAAAAGCAAAAGCAGAGCAAGAAACAGACAACAAAAACAACAACAGTAAGCAAGCAGAAGCACATAAAATAAAATCAGACAAACTGAATTATTAAAAGATTAAAAGATGAAATAATTAAAAGCAATGGTAAACAGGTCGGCCTTTAGCTTGGATTTGGAAGTATTGTTTAAGTAATTTGAGCAGCACAGAAACTAAAGGCAGCTTAGTCTTGATTCTGGGAACAGTAATCCAGAACCAGCCGACCTGAGAGGTCTGAAAGGTTCCTACTGGGTCAGGAGATATTGGACCTAAAGCATTTAAACATAAAACTGCCTCCAATTTCAATCTGTCTCAAATGCAATTACACTTTTTTAAAAATCCAATAGCTATCCCATCCGCCCTAGACGCATGAATAGACTAAAATGTGTGGTGCAAGTGGTTGCCAGATCTTAATGAGTGAAAGCTCAAAAGCACTTAATATGGATTGTCTGTATGCATGAAGTCCGACTTGCAGCTTATAAGGACATTCTGCATTAGGGTGTTTAAATAAACGTCTCTGCAGCAGGAGCAGGAAAAACCTCCTTATTGTCTATTTTGACTGCACACTAATAAGTCTGCAACAGTTCTTAATGTAGTGAACCCTCCACACATTAGAGTAGTTTTCCAGTCTTTGGAAACACCTGGAAATTCATTAAAAGGACCAAATATTCTGGAAATAATTCACGTTGTCCAGAATTTTCACGAAAGCCAGACGGAGAATTTTGTTGTTGTTGTGGTTAATACAGTAAGTAACACTTTGTAAATCCCATCCTAACAGGTTGGATTTTACCTGATAACAGCCGAATTCTAAATATTTCCTGCTTTGTAAGAGCGTTTCTTGATTTCCTGACTTCCTGTGTGCAGCCACCAGAGGAACAGCTTCCATCGTGTCCGAGGTCATGATGTACGTGTCCATCATCGGCCTTCAGGTCTGGCTCCTCATAGAGATGATTTACTGCTACAGGAAAATATCAGCAGCCGGGGAAGAAGCATTAAGAGAAGCAGCGTAAGTCTGTTTGCACATTCATGTCATGTCGCTCACGACATGTTAAAACCTTGTATCTCCAGCTTTGGTGATTTGTTTTTGACGTTTACTGAGAGATTAAAGTGCATTTGCTTGTTTTTTTTTAATAGATGAGAAGATTCTTTCTTATAGAGAAAGAATAGCAATCAAACTAAAAATATTGCTGCATTTGTCAGTAGTTGAAAAACAGACACTATGAAGATACAAGGTGTTCCTGCAATAGTATTAAAATGTTATATAAGTAATGTAGAGCTCAAACAGAGTGCTGCATTTTTAAGACAAATACCTACAGAGATATTTGAGAGATATTTCTGGCTCTGGTGCATGTAAAGCATGGACATATAAACGATGGACATTGCGTCTCCGATTCCTCCCACTGTACAAACATGAAGCCAAAATATCCCGGATACGGACGCTGACCTGTAATCCCTCTTTATAGCTTTAAATAACTAATCAAAACCAAAGCTTATAACAAAATTTAACACTCAGAACAACCTAAAATGACATAAACCATCTTTGGGGAAAAATTATTTGACGTGTACTTTGATCTTTTTTAGTCGAGATTTTTTGGCTTCACTTTGGGAGAGCTGTCATGTTGTCCATCTTTATATATGTTGATAATGTAAACACATCTGGGGTAAGGTTAGGGTCACACAAGCATTTAATATGATATAGAATGATGATGAATATGAGATTTTGTGGCGAAATCACACTACAGTACTTATTATTATTAATAATTAAAATATTAATTATAATGCTGTTTGTCCCACTTTAATCAAACAATTGCAGCTTCTGTGTTTTAGTTATTGCACTTCTATTAATTGTGCAGCCCCTCCCAAACTCGATGTGTTCAAAACATTCGGTGTGTATTTCCTCATGAATACTGCCATGCTGTATTCATGTGCTACTGCTGAAATCACACACCTATAATTCAGACTTTTACTTTGTTACATCCTCTCTTCTGTTCACTTTACCTGCCCTCTTACTTATTTTTAAGATTATCAATGTTTCCATTGTGTTTGTGTGTTTTCACTTGTGTCTCTTTGTCTAACGTCTCACGCTCCCTGTGACTACTTGTCATGTTTTCGTCTTGTCCGTCCCATCCTGTCATCCTCCTCCTTAGTAAAAATCAAAACCTCCCTCCTCCTCCTCCTCCTCCTCCTGTAAGTCAAAAAAAGAACAAAAAAGACTGTCATACAACTAGTTATGATGTTTTGTTTTTGCATTTTTCCACCCATTTCATTGTGCTAATGTGCTAACGTTTAACACTGATCACCACTGATGGTTGTTATTTTTCTCTTTTCTTTCTAGAAATGCTGAATATTTAGCGATAGCTTCGGAAAGTAAAGATAACTGTGCGGGAGTGCAGGTCGGAGAATAGCACAGGTACGTTGTGATCTCTAAATGCATGTCAGCAGCATCTTTCCACAATGAGATATCTACCATTTAATGAAGCCTTTTACATTCTTTATGCTTCTAAAATCAAATGTATTGGTGGATTTAGGGTACACAGAGTCCCTTATTGACCAATTCTAACCTAGTTCTGGGTATCGAACCTCCCAATTGAGCTTAAAAAAACAACATAGTCCTGAAATCCAGAATTTCCACAAAATATAAAATGCCTCCATCAAAAAACAAGATCAGCTAAAATTACGATGCTTCAAATTGTATTAGTCAATTTGTTACCCATAAAAGAGATAATTGTTAATTGTAAGTGCAATTAACAATTTAACTTCTAGAAGATGAATTTGATGTAATATAAAATCAATTCTACTTGATTTGAACTGTTACTTATGGGCTGTGGCCAAATTAATGTAGTCAATTTGCCCAAAACTGCAGCTTATGTGACCGTTTGTAAGCAAGTGCTGTCCTGTATTGTCAAGAAAAACTCCTGGAAAATGGTTTGTTAAACACATGAGAGGTATGTTCTCGTTTGTTAAATGAAAAAAGGTTTTTGTTTTTGTTTTATTTCTGGGGGAAAAAAATACCTAAACTCTTGTATCTACGTTAAGTTGCCAGTTTTTTAAGCTAAAGCTAATGTCTGATACAACTGTCCTGCAATACTTTTAACCTTCAGGATGGTTTTAATGTTCAGATGTTGTAATTTATATCAATGATGGTAGACTAAATATTAGAAAAACCTGTCAGCTTAACACAAAACAATTGAATAGCACCACAAACTACATCCTCCAAAATGATCATAAAGTTGAATCAACACCATTTATGAGTTTTTATATTAAACTGTATTAGCTTTAGTTAATTGAACCTAAAAACCAGCAACCTAATGTATATTTTAGAGGTTCTAATGTTTATTAATGAACTGGACTTTCTATAAAAACTGTGACGTCCATTAATACATGTTGTCTTTTGTCTTCAGGCTTCTTCCGTGGACTAAAAACATCCTTCCACCCTCTGACCTGCATGTAGACAACTTAGGAGAAAAGCTCCTTTTCATCTCAAGTCTCTATTTTACCTTTTCCTTGACAAAGACCACAAATGGATATGACTTACAAAGACAGCATGGTACCAGCACTGTATATAGTATTCTGTGCGCAACAGCATGTCCTGCACTTACATGAGAAAAACATTATGCATTAATGAGCCACATTGTCAAAAGCATATACTGTACATACAGTATTTCTCTAAGTATATGTAGTCACACGTTTCTATAAAATGTTAAGTGGTACTATGATGGCCTGTTAAGACTGCAAGAGGCTGATTGAGAAAGAAAGCTTTTTACTACATCATCGCCACCTAATGTATAAATCATGAGACACACAACACGTATGGTATGGTACAGTTATTTATAAAATAAAATGTAATGGACTATGATAGACTGTCTTTCCAGTTGCTAGTTGTACAGTACATTCAATGAAATCTAAAGATGTACTAATAAAAAACTGAAAAAAAGTACACGTGATGGAGAAGTCTTCTGTTGATGGTAATAACGAACGCACGTCACCATGGAAACTGCTGATGTGTCTTGTAAATATTTTAGAGAGTTTAAATGGATGGCTGTCGCTGCAAGAAAACATAATGCAGACAACTTCCGGTATTTATTTATTTATTTTTTTCATGTAGCCGAAGCAAACACCATGTTAGAGCTGAAATAGTTATTTTATTCACCTTAGTGGATTTACAGCTTCCATCATCCTCCACAACAATGGGAACCAATCAAATTCCCTGATTTAAAAGGAACAGTTCAACATTTAGGGGAGCATAATTATTTGATTTATTTCCACCCCAGAAGGTGAGATGTGAAGATTGATACCGCTCTGATGGCTGTGTGCTGAGTCTTAGCATGAAGACTGGAAGCAGGCTCTGTTTAAAGTTAAAAAATATGGCAACCAGCTCCTCTAACGATTACAAATGACCACGATGTATCTGCCAGATAGTTTTAAGTGCAGGTCTCTGCACAGACATGGTGGTACCGTATCTGGCAAAGGAAGCTCTCAGTTCATTTTTTATTTATTTCCAGGGGGCGTTATCGACGGGTGTAGCCCTAACTGCCTCTGGATGCAGGTGGACAGACGTACAACCAATCAGAGCAACAAAAGGCGACGTCGCGCTGAGCTGAACGTAGCTGCTCTGTACAGTCATCGTATCAAACCTGCCCCATAGTAGATGAAAAGGTTGTGATTGTGACCCCGGCCAGATCAGCCGCCACACTCAAGCTCAATTATCACAGACATAAAAACTATGTTTGTGGTAATTTTTCTCCCCAAAATGTTGAAATATTCCTTTAAAAGACGACACTGATAAATCTCATCGCCCCTACGTCCCCCTACAGTTGTAGCACACAGTCCGTGTCGGGGTACTGAGGAAGGTTGAGTTGGTACTTCCTCTCTAGGCCCGGTGGCACAAAGCGGCCTCCCAGGAAGTGGTAACGTCCTCTAAAGAGGGAGGCCGACTTCTTGGGAGCAGTGAGAGAGATGAGCAAGTCGGGCTGCAGTCCGTCTGCACTGCCCTGCTCCACATCCCAACCTTTAAAAAAAAAAGACAAACAGGATGTCACAGTTCAGTCCACAGAGGACATATTAACAATCAGGACAATTATACTCATATAATAACTTCAAAATACCTGTATATTTTATGTCTTAAACACCATGTTTGCCACTGCCTAATTCACATTTAATTCACTAGAAACAGTCTGTTGTACTCAACGGAGCAAAGCACTTTAAGACAATAATATGAGTTCATGTTTACTAGAGAAACTGGATGTAGTAAGAAATAATCTATTCGGTAGCAGTATTAAAATTCACCAACAAGGTAGGAAGTGTGTTTCCTTCAACGGAAATCCATATTCTTGTGCGAGGACTGACCTGACGGGATGTCGATGCTAGCTAAGGGGACTGTCGTCTTCTTCAGCACGTTGAGGATGGAACCAAAAGGCTCTCGTACAGCCCCCTTGAAGCTGAAGCCGAAGATGGCGTCTATCACCAGGTTGTAAGCCTCGTCAATCACTTTAGCCTGAGAAAAGAAAGAAATAAATAAACATACATTTTCTTTTACATTGCTTCAAAAGACCAACATACAACTACTTCATCTACTAATCAAAGAGCACTTTTGTAAAAACACTGAAAACGTGTTATAAATTGTAACTTCAGTGAAGCCAGTAATCCAGACTCTGCATCATTTCAGTCAATTATATAATTGACTAAGCTGTTCATTGCAATAGAAACCCCAACTCCCCCACAGGGATGATTCTGACTTCTAATCTAAACTGCAGCCTCATTTAGCAAGAGCTAATATTGTGTAATGCAGCACTCTCATAGCTAGAAATGAAATGCACGCTCATAAACACAACACCGCCCCACTGAAGATAACGCTGCTACATAATTGATAGACACCAAACCTCAGGCATCTCAGTCAGGAAGGGGATCTCCATTTTCTGGCACTGTGTGGTCAGGCCCTGGAACAGAGGTTTGTTTGGCCTCTTCGGGTAGAGGATGGTCGGCTCGTAACCCTGAACGAGGACAAACAAAGAGGTAGAAAGATTGACAGAGCGCAGTAAATGTCCAGTAAAGAACGCCTTCAGATTGGTTCAATGGAGGTTTTTATGTAGCACACACAGACTGTCTGTGAACGCCTCGAAGTCTAAATACGCTAGCGTTAATCTAGTGTGCTGTACAGAACGGGCAACAACCTACGGACGTCTACTGAGGTCGTCCACTGCTTTTCCTTTTAAATGTTCCTTATGTGTCCCATAAAAATACTGGTGAGAAGTTCTTTTGTTTTTATGCCCCGAGACTGTGGATATTAGAACGGTGAGCTCTCCCAGTATTTTTAAAAGGAAATTAAAGATCTTTTTAATTTTACTTTTACTTTGGAGTAATGTTATATCCTTAGTTTGTAGGTTTTATTTGTCTCACGTTGTTAATTTCAGTTTTTATGTGTCGTTTCAGTTTGTTATGTGAAGCACTTTTGGGCTGTGTTTGTATGAAAGGTGTAAATAAAGTTGAGTTGCGGTATTCAGGTCCTTTACTTTTGTAAAAGAAGCAATATCTCAGTGTAAAAACTACCAGTAATAGTCCTGCATTCAAAACCTTACATAAAAGAACAAAAGTAACAAAAGTAAGACTTCTTATTCCAAAAGGACCCTTTTCTAGTGTTATATACTGTTTATTATAGGATTATTATCCATTTAATAATCTACAATCTGTTTATTTAAATTAATAATTGAGTAATTCAAGTAATATTTATAACATTGCAATATTAAATATTAATTTTAATTAAAAGAATGAATTTAAAATATGTGAAATAAGGCACAATTTCTGCTCTCCGTTCTCAAATTATGAAAAAGTTGACTTATAAAAGTATTAAAACAACTTGATTTGCATTTAAAAACTGTTTTCTCACTTTCCATTAAAAAATGTGCCTTTAAGGACTCAATTACTTACTTCAGAATAAGGTTTAGAAGCTGTTGAATAAAATATAGTGCAGTAAAAAGTACAATATCTTTATAGTGGAGTAGAAGTATAAAACTTGAGGAAATGTACTCAGTTACTTTCCACCACTGCTGCAGAGTCTCTTACTGTCACACAAGGACACTCACAAAGAGTTTAAGATGTCGGGCACAGACCAGGCCGTCGCCTCCGTTGTTACCTGGTCCACAAATCACCAGCAGAGTAGGTCGGGCCTTGACGAGGGAAGTAACCGGATACGCCTGCAGGCAGAAGAAAATCTATACAGCGCTGCACCACAACTGTTTGACAAGGAAAAGAGGATTTTCTTTTACAGCAGCTACTCAACAGAAATGCTTCGAGTGATGCAGACTGAGAAGACGGAGTAATCTGATTATTTCCCTCTTCAGGCAGTAATCGGATTTCTGTTAATGCAAAACCTGGTTTCCTGGTAACACACATGGACCTTTTAAGATGTTTAAAACACCTGTTTATAGTTATATAAATAACTAAATGAAAATAAGATCAATAATATCAAAATAATACCAAAATAAGATCATTCTGCAGTGTTTTATATTATAATACCGAAGTGGTTACTATTGTTGTTTTGTATCTATTGTCACTTATTATGATTTAATAATTCTACTTAAATTCACAAATATATATATATATATATATATATATATTTGTATTTTTGGTGTGCATTTGCCTGTAAAGCACTTTAAACTGCACTAACTTGTATAATAAGTGCTACACAAATAATGTTGACTGATAAGTCAAAAGAAATTCAAAAATAAGGAACATAAAAACTTTGTTTGTCCAAAGCTGTCAATCTTTGATAACGATGGTTAGCTGACGAGTGTATAATAATAATCAGACAAATACAACCGATTCCTGCCCTAAACTGGTTGTTCACCAGTACAGTTTAATGGGCTGCAACTAACACATAATCTCATTATCAATTAATCTGGTTTTCTTCATTAATTCAACAATAGTTTTGACCATAAAATGTAAGAAAGAAAGAAAACAATTTTAAGAAAATTACAATTTCCCGACAACTTCAAACATATTCAGTTTATAATTATATGAGAAAGAAAAGCATCAAATCTTCACATTTAAGAAACGTTTTTGCTTAAAAAAAAAAAAAAAAGAATATTTCAAAATAATAATCTACATTTAACATTTTTATTTCAAAATAAGAGCCTGGATTGACATCTCACCCTGGCGATGGCTGTGGCACAGCTGAGTCCAGCCAGCTCCATCAGCTGGTCCACACTGAAGCCGTACTCACTGAAGAGCTCCTCATCAATGTGCTGGGCCTCCTCCTGCCTGTGGAGCGTCGACAGGTCAGTATGGACAGTCTACACACATTCAGTCTGTAAGTTTTACTGCCCTGTGGACACTTTTTTTAAAACTTCACCCGAGATATTTGATGGTCTGGGCCATGGTGGACGCTGCTCTGCTGCTGAAACAGTCCTTCTTGTGGTTGTTAGCCGCTGCGGACAGCGAACATGTCCCTGTCTGAGCGAGGACTGTCGCGGCCCTTGAGGTCACCAGGAATCCGATCCCAAACAGAGCCCGAACGCTCAACATCCAGCTGGATCCAAACTCCTGGAACAGAAGAGGCCACAGTGATCTACCCTGAACTGAAGGAAGTCAGCACCCACATCGATCCCATGACTTCATGAGCAGACAGAAGTGTAACTGTAGAGCCAAAGGAAGAAAGTTTTACATGAGGAAAGCCTGCGAGCTATAGTTCAGACATCAGACGCCACTGCCTCCTACAGCTGCTACGTTGCTTTCACCGATCGCTTGCTTGCATTTCTTTGCTCCCCTCCATCCACCTGCAGGCTGCACACTCACAGTCCTCGATCATCCCCTGTGCTCTCAACTCCTGCTCAATGTGCTTCACAGGAAGAGATGACACAAAGATTCCTTAAAGTAAACTGTGTGTTTTTTTCCTTTTTTCTGTAAACTTTGCATTTTAAGTCTAAACTTGTGTTCATGGCTGAGTCATCAGACACAACCATACTGCACTGAAGTAGAGCTGTCAGCAACTAATTATTACAACCTAAAGTTAAATCTAATACATTTGCTGCACAGATGTGAGGACATACTTATTTTCTTTGTTTTATATCGGTGTAAACTGAGAATCTTTAGGTTTTGGACTGTTGATCAGAGGAAAAACACTATTTAAAGACGTCAATTTGAACCACTGCGATAGTTTTAACTCTTTTCTGACATTTTAAACACTAAATCAATGAGGAAAATCAATTGTGAATCTATTGATCAAGAAAATAATAGTTAATTGACAGTCCAAAATCCCAAACTAAGACATTTGCAGTGATGCAAAACAGAGAAAAGCAACAAATTGTCACATTTGAGAAGTAAATATTTAGTATTTTAACACAATAAAAGACAAATTATTTAAATGTCAATCACCTAATATGTTTTATTTACCAGTGGTTTTAGTAAGAACAAATGGAAATGATACAATCTGATACTGAACTCTATTTAATGAACCTAAACCTGATTAATTAAGTGATTGTGTGATGTTTATTTTCTCTGTTTATTAAATGTAACTTCAGCAGCCGAGCTAACTAACCAACCCTTTAAAGCACACTGCAGTATGCTGATCACACAGGTTTGTTTTTAGAGTTTATAAACGACAAACAGAAACATAAAAGTCCAACTTCAGCTTCAGTCTGCAGGCTGTTAGCTCGCTGGCTAACGTTTAGCATTTGAGCTGTGAGCTTTACCTTCAGGTGTTAGCGACACTCACCAGATGTTAACGAGCTTTTTCTCGCCAAAGAACAACTTCACATGCACGTTTGTCCTGTTAAACACAACTTACAGGTCGATAATAAACCGATTAAAGGTGAAACTACGCAGCAGCACGCTGACAACCACTTCCTGGTTTGGAAACATAACAACGCTGCTCTGATTTCAAAATAAAAGCCCTTGTAATAGTATGTCTCTAGATTAATTTCCTCCTTTCTGGTTCATGTTTTCTGCAGTCTATTAATATATGTTTGACAGTTTGAGTGCATTAGGGGTCTTGTCTATGATTTGGAGTGTGTGATTTAATGCTGTTTCTCCTTTGGGCTCCTGCTCTGTGCCTACATGTTGTTGTATATTATAAAGATCTATAGATTATAAAGATATAAAGGTCTTCCAGTGTCACATAAGTCCCAGTATTCCTGCCAGGTTTTGCATATATGATCCTTTATGGTCGTTTTATCTTCATTTGCTCTCGTTTTGCCAATATATCCATATTCTTTTCATTTCCTTCCACTCCTACATGAGCAGGAACCCAAAGGAAGGAGACAAATAAAAGCCCTATCTCTAAAGCATACTGATATGGAAGAAAGTACTGTGACAGGAGGAGTCATTGGGTTGAGTACTGTTCTTTTTCAGTAGTGGAAGAAGTATTTAAACCTCTCACTTAAGTAGAAATAGAAATACTACACCATAATAATCCTCCTGCGTACTTACAGAATGCACTCAAAATGTACACAAAGGTGTTAATTACACACAATGGCCCCTTTTGGATTGTTTTATTGTTATATATCATATTTATTATTAATATAATTATTGCTGGATTAGTAAGCAGCATTTTAGTGAGCTAAAATCTTAATCGCAACTATAGTTGGCAGATAAATGTGGTGGAGAAAAAACTACATTTTCCTCTGAAATGTAATGACATAATAGTATAAAGCTCCATAGAAATATAAGTACAACTTGAAATGGAAACACTTTACACCTGAAATAAATATAAAATAAATATTCTACTCTGATTTCTGATCTCGTGTTTTGAATGAAGGTCGTGTATGGATAAAATAATCCGAGGTAAACATTTTGTGTTGTGTTTATGTTTTTAAAATGTTGGTGGTTTTAAATATACAGTTCATTTTTTAATTAACTTGTTGTTCTCTTTCATATATTTAACACAAATTATTATCCATGTAAATTTGTCAGACTGCTACATTCAAACAGATTTAACCCCACAATTAAAATATCCTGCACATTATAATATTTCTATGCTATGTGACAAAAAAAGTACTTAGACGGTCCCACTGTTGTTGAACAAGACAAAATATGTCAGAATTAGGAAAACATGTTTATTGATATCAGTAAAAAATACATAATATTCTGTGGATCTGTAGCGAAGTTGATCTCAATTTACTTTTCAGGATCAAATTCAAAGTCTTTTTGAAAATACATGAACACAAATAAATTTAATGCAACCCTGCTGCATCAGTACAGAGTGTAATGCAAATCTGATTGAACTGTGTTATGAAAAGCACAAGAATGTAGGATTTTTATCTACTTTACTGGCTATCGTCAACTTCTTAGTTGTTTGAGGCTGTTAAAGTAGCTGCTAGGCTCATATGTTACTGCTATGCAGGAAGCCTGGGAGAAATCTAAATCCCTTAATGTCACAGATAAAAACAAAACTGCCTGCTTTAATCATGATTTCAATCTAAGAAAATATTTCACAAGCATGCCTATGTACATTATTTTTAAAAAAGCAGTATAAAGTTTCATTGCATACAATATCTTGAAAAAATATTCCAGAGTACATGAAGTGAACTAACTACAGCTGGTAACTAAAGAACTAATAACTAAAAATTAATTGAATAGTTGAAAGTGTTTCAGCGTGGATCCATGGGCTCACATAATTGGACAGCTCTCCATTCTGCCTCCAGCCTAAGAGGAAAGATCGACAAAGTTACAATCATCATAAGACAGAAAAAAATGTCAATTAAACACTTTGATCTTTAAATAAAACATTAAAAAATGCTTCAAGAGAAGCTGAATTGTTTGTTTGCTTTCTAAAAAGACCTTTTAAAAGTGATAAAAGTCATCATATATCAGCTGTAGGTGTTGCAGCGTCCCACCTTGCGCGGAGTGCTTGTGCTGAACACGTAGGAGTGGGGCAGTAAACCCTCGGAGATGCCTCCGCTGCGGAAGGAGCGGGAAGCTGAAGTCACGGAGCAGCTGCTGGATTTGTCTGATGGAAGTCCGCAGGAGCCGCAGACGACCGTCCGGCTCCGCAGGTTGTACTCACTGTCTCCACAGGTGCTGTGAGCCACCTGCTGAGGCAAACAGACAGATTTAGTATTCATATTAGTGGTCGTTGCTTCTTTTCTAGGATTTATATAACAACAAATTGAATCTTATGTCTGTGAGGGCCTTTTTCTTACTTTTTATAGACATTAGTTAATCCATAAAATAGTGAGTAGTAAATGAATCGATAATGATGTGTTTACATCTTGTGTTATTCTGCTGAAACATTATTAATTTCCCCCAAAATCTGGTTGTTGTTACACTCTCCAGACCAAAGAAATCAACAATACAGAGTTACAGGTTGTTTATATGTTTCTGCATCCTGATAACAAACCACTCTCTATCTGATATATTGTACCACTCCAACAATCATATTGATTATCTGAGTGTTAAAATAGCTAATGCTTTTCAGCATCCCAGAAGGTGTTCCTAATGTTTTATAGGTGTAATTTGATGTACTTCAGCTCCATTTATCATTAAAATTACTTAAAATTAAAACTGAATGCTGCTCACTGCCTCTTAGTGTTGCAGATTCCTGTGTTATGTGTGTACATACAGATACAGATGGGTGAAATTAAAGGAAAAAATGAGAGGAGAAACTTAACAAATGCTTCCACAAAGGTGAACTGCATGGTGCAATTAAGCAATTAACATCCAATCAGGCTCTGTGGCATGTATGAATTCTGAGTTGATCCTGATTTTGTGGGATATTACAGTACGGTTACACTAAATAAACCCATCATCATAAAGCAACCTTTACCATCAAAGGAGCCATTTTGGCCCCAAAAAGCAAAAACTATATCTGCCTGGTGCCGCAAAACATATTTGAGCCGTATAATGCTGATTGACTGAATGGATTTTGCACGACAGATCAAGCACAACCGTAAGCCAATTGTCCTCCAAGACTTTTCTTTTTTGGATTTGGAGCCCATAGCAAGTCTTCGAAGGCAGACTCAAGACTGATAACACGGTAAAATATAGAGAGAAAGGCAGCAGGTCAGGATATTACGTGAAATTTAAAAAAAAATGTATTCATTTGTGTGTAATGACTACACATTTTTACAATTGGAGAATGTAAGAACCTTTTAAGGCCTACAACAATGACACATTTCCATATAATTTGTTTTCAAAACCACAAGGAGCCACTGGAGAGGGCCTAAAGGTTGCCTAGCCCTGCAAATCAACACAAGTTGTTCTTTATCCTATCATAAGAGTCCTAGGATAAAGGTAGGAGTGGTTCTTCCAGGACACAGGGGAATTGAAATGAGTATGAAAATGAGGTGAATCATATGCTATGGCCTCCGCAGTCACCAGATCTCAACCCAGTTGAACACCTATGGAAGGCGTGTTAGACGGCGCTCTCCACCACCATCATCAAGACACCAAATGAGGGAATATCTTTTAGAAGAATGGTGTTCATCTTCAAAAGAGTTTCACAGACTTGTAGAGTCAATGCCAAGACACATTGAAGATGTTCTGGTGGCACATTGAGGCCTTACTAAGACAATATATGTTGTTTGTATGTTTTTAATGCAGTTTCTCTCACCATGTCATCATCGTCTTCTTCAAGGTGTGTGCGGGTGATCTTCCTCATTGCCATTTCCTGGAGGAAAAAGTTTTATTTATATATTTATGCCCATTTCTGACACTTAAATAAAGTGTCCAAATACCACATGTTTGACTGGTAAATGTAAAATACCTCTCCATTGGCACTGATCAGGGTGGTCTGCAACAGGTCTCCGGTGCCCCAAGAGGGCTGAGTCTTCCACACCAGGTCAGAGGGAGGACTGTGGGTCCCACCAGCACCAGAGGCCCAGATCTAGAGGTACAGTAGGGTATAAGTAACTGTGTTCCTCACTGTGCTGATGTGTGTTTCTGCTGATTAAAGTTGCTGCTTACCGTGACCCTCTGTCCCGCCTTCAAGGTGAATTTCACCGGGAACTTGAAGATGATCGGCACACCAGATCCCACCTGCCGCTTCACCTGCCAGTTCCCCAAATTTTGATCCTGAGAATTGGAGGAGGGGGCAAGTGGTTATTTTTCATAGTCTGAAATGATCCAAGTTATATTCTCCCTCAACAGGTGATGAATTAAAGGACCAGTGTGTAAGATTTAGTGTCATTTAGTGGTAAAGCTGCAGATTGCAACCATTTGAATACAGCTCAGCCTTATTATACATTCATGAAAACATACCTATGAATATTATATTCCATTTCTGACAATAGATCCTCCTAAATGTTACACACTGGACCTTGTATAGCTGCATGATGGAAATTTGTGGGAACAGGGTCTATTATATTGACCAAACACACAGTGTGCAACTGTAGCAGAAAAAGCAATCTTGTTAGGATTTCTCAGATAATATTTAATCACCCCACAATTTTTTTCATCTTTTCACCTCATCTGATTTGTTGCTGAGTCTGACATATTTCCCCTCCAGGTCCACCTCGTCCACAGTGACCCGTCCGCTGGCTGAGGCCTGCTGGGTGATGCGAGTGCGGGCCACAGCTCCACCTGCAAAGCTCGAAGCCTCGCTGTCGGTGTCGTTGGGGCGGCGCCTCTTGGCTGGAGAGTTCTGAGCGCCGTAGTGGACTGATCGAGAGTGAGCTCCTGAAGTAGAGGAACGACTTCCTGTCACTTTGGTGGGCGGGGGGCTGGGGGAGAGACGCAGCCTGCAGGGACAAACATGGGAAAACAAGTGTGGTGAGGCTCATGAGTCACTGCAAAACTCTTATTTTATTCAATAAACTCATTGTGAGCCAACACACCTCTGCTCCTCTCCCTCCAGCAGCTTCCTGTAAGCACATATCTCCATATCCAGAGCCAGCTTGACATCCAGGAGCTCCTGGTACTCATCCAGCTGCTGCTGCATTTGCTGCCTCATCTCAGCCATTTCTCTGTCTTTGTCTCCCAGCAGACGACGCGTGGTGTCCCGCTCCCTAGACAGGGCTTCCTCCAGGTCCCTCACCTTCGCCTCGCGGGCCGCCAGCTGGATCAGACAGAAGAGTCACACAGTTAGAGTTAGGAAAACTTAATGCCCCTTTAGCTATGAATCTTAAAGGGTACATGTTCATGATGATGCAGTGCATTATTGATACAAGCATCTTGGATTAGGTCCCTGAATGTGATCTGTGTGAGCTGCTCCTTTCAGATCACCTGTTTCTGCAGCTGGCTGAGCTGAGAGGACATGGACTCCACGCGGATTCGTGTCTGCTGGAGCTCCTCATGAGCTGCTCCAACCAGGTGACTGCTCCTGTCCGCGGACTGACGAGCATTTTCCAGCTGACAGAGCAAGATAGAAAATTAATAACCAATCTTATGATGTGTTTTCTGATATTTTATCTTCCACAGAAGACCACAAGAGAAAACATGTTTTGTAGAGCAAACCTTGGTATTGTAGGTCTTCTCAATCTCATCCTTGTACATTTTGATCTGCAGTTCGTGCTGGTTACGCATCTCCATCAGCGCCTCCGACAACTTGCTTTCAAAGTCCTGCTGGATGCCATTGTCCAACTCAACCATACGAGACTCATGGCGCCGCTTTGTCTCCCGCAGTTCCTGTTTGAGAACGACCAAAATCATCAACTAGGAGTGCATGTTTTTTTAAATAACAGGCAGAGGCTGTAAAGGGAAAAAGTGAAGTGAAGAAAAGGAAAGGTGATTCATTGATGATGATAAAAACTTTTCTCTGACCTCCGAGTGGAGATTCCTCTGAAACTCCAGCTCCTCTTTGAGGGTCTGGATGCGATTCTCTCCGTCCACCCTCCTCAGCATCTCATCCTGCAGCTGCTTCCTGGCATCGTTCAAACTGGTGTCCAGCTAACAAAGCAGATCAGGAAATGAATATTAGTACAAAGCAATACACAGACATTCGCATAAACACGCCACAGAGGGCAGAAATATGCAGTAAATATAATAAGAAGGCAGGAGAGTAGGGAGGCTGCTCTTTAATCAAAATGTCTGAGCTCAAGCAGCCACGACAGAAAGAGAAAGGTCTGAAAGCAGCAAAGAACTGTTCTTCATTTTCTCACACAGACACATAGTTCATATTTTATTTTTACTCAGTGAAAGCCCAAGGCCCTTTCCAAACTCCACTGAAAAAAAATCAGAAATAAACAGCTAGTGCTCAAGGCAAACACAGGGTTATAACTCGTTCTTTGATAGGCTGACATTTATTATCACAAATTGGAAAGCACAGAGGATCGTGAGGGACAAACTGGGAGCTGGTGAGCTTTGTAGGCGAACTGCAGAAAGATGGACCCCAGATGTGTTTCCACTGAGATATAAATTGAGCGTAGGTTTGAGTTTACCTTGGCCACCTGCGTTTTCAGGTCCCTGTTTTCCACCTCGAGGTTTCGCTTCTCTCCCAGAGCCGTAGTCAGGGACGCATCCTTCGAGTTCAGCAGGGCCTCCAGGTCTTTGAGCCTCTGCAACGCTCCAGCCAAGTCTGACTCCTTTTTGGTGTTTCTGCAAAGACACAAAAGAGTCTCAGATGTTAAGCTGCATTTTCCTGGATGTGTCTGTAATAACTGATAGAGGATGTTCCAGTAAATAGAATAGGTCCATTTTGCTTTATAACTTTATAACCAAGAGGAAACTGAATTACTATAGTTTTCTTTACAAAGTCTATGTCTACAAATACAAGCTATTTTTGAATAAGGATGTAGCCTGGATGAAATAGGAACAGGGGAAAGACCTCGGTGCATATGACTCATAGGCCACAGCAATCTGTGTCCAATCCCGTGTATCATGGTAGCCACAAACCACAGCCGTTGGTGTTTAGCTGAGAAGCTGCCATGGCAACGGCTTGGCTTTGCCAAACACACAACTGCCCTCGTCTCAATATTTATGGAAAAATAATGGAGGAAAGAGTGGAGCCCTCTAAACACTGCCACGTATTGTGTGCATAATGATTACTTTGGAGAAGGAGGAGAAACTGAGGAAAGAGTTAGTCATCAGGTCCTGGATCTGGAAGCATGGGAAGGAGTCGGCGTCGAGGACCAACGTCAAAACTACAGTGAGCAATGAGGAGGGTATGCTAAAGCTAGGGAGTGGCCCCCGGGAGCAGGCCAACGCTGCTCCCAGAGTGTGAGCAGGAGTTATACAAGCAACAGCTATTAAGAGCTAATGAGTAAGTGTGTTCTGCTGCTGTGGAAGCACGTGCAGAAATGTTTTAGATACTAACACCGCAATCACAAAACCCTCTCACTCACACACCAATGGACAAGTGGACGCCTTTGACTGAGAATGACTTGTTTGGAAACGGGGATTTCGGACGCCTCGGGGCAGCTGTTTCATCTCATGATCATCAGATTAACAAAATATCTGGATCAGAAGTGTCTTTTCATTTTTATTAAAGGGTACACCAGGCTGATTATGACCAAAAATCTTTTTAATCTTGGAAATAAAAGTAACTAGTTACACAATTTTTGCTGTGCTATGTGTTCTCCCATAACAACCTGAGAAAAAATAATCTTAATGCTCGATGTCAACAGTTATATTGTAAGTGCTTTCAAAAGAGTTTGGTAATTGTAACTTTAAAGCAAGCTATGATATTTTAGCTGAGCCACTGGGATAATTAAGGGATAATAGTAAATGCTAAATTTACGAGTTCAAGTAGGAAAGATTCATAAAGACGGCAGACTGACTTAGTAATGTCAGTTACATTGCAAGTTTGCTAACATTAGCCACCATTAGCTACCAGTCATATCAGCCCCTCGTGAGGCTGTAGCAGCAAAACATGTTAATTTTATTGCTTATGAGCTCAATTTATTATTATCACGTTATTATTCAGCATTATGAATGATATTTCATACCTAGCTGAGCTTTAACTGTGAAGAAACTACATCTCACAAACATACATGGGTGCTTTTAAGGAATTCGGGGCCTCAAATGTGCTGTGACCCCCTTAAAAAACACCCCCCACCCCTCTCTGGTCAATGTAGTTTATCACTGTTTTTTTCTCCACACACACACACACACACACAGAAAACACTAAATCCTGTCAGATTTAGACTGAATGTGCTGCAGCCCACCTTGCTTTCAGCTCTTTGTGGTCCTCCCGCAGCTTGCCCAGCTCCAGCTGCAGACGTGCTCTCTCTTTGGCCACAGAGTCTAGAGTCTGACGGGCATCGGCCAGCTCGGTCTCATAGGCGGCCTTCAGGCCCGTCAGCTCCCGGCTGACCTCTGTCTCTGACTCTGTGATGCGCAGACGCAGGCCGGCGTTCTCAGCCTCCAGAAAGCGCACCTTGTCGATGTAGACGGCCAGCCGGTCGTTGAGGTTGGACAGGTCCTCCTTCTCCTGGAGCCGGGTGATACGGTTGGGGGACATTGGTGTGTGTGCACCTCGGGGAGTGTTTTTGGGTGTCGCCATTGTCTGCTATCTTTTCAGAAACAGACATGATTATCAACTTAATTATTCTGAATTACGTTTGTTTTTCATGCACAATATATCTATCTTTTGTGTAGCTGTGCAATAAAAACAGGACTTTAGTGCTTGAGTTTAGAGTTCAGTCTATAAATCTACAGTCAACATTAACTACTGTAACTACTGTTGTTAATCATAATAAATCCATTAAACTCTGATTAAAAACATACCTAATTTACTCATAAAAGCAAGATTTTGACTTTTAAGGAAAACTGTGGATCTGGAAACTTCTATATGAGTATAACAAAGTCATAACTGCAAGTTTAGATTGAAATTGAAAACATAATCCACTGTAAAATATCCGGTGGCCAAACGGCAGAATCTTTTGAGTACAATGGCATAAAACAGACATACAAAAGAGTATAATTAAGAAAAAGACATGGGAGGGGTTATCGACTCCACCCAAAAATCAAAGAAAAGTCTGCACAAAAAAATCCCAACATTGTCGGGAAGATTTACCTTTTTTAGAGCTCGTCGGATAAGGAGAAAAATGCTGCTCCAAGGATATTCGTGGACTTTGTTCGTGTGACTTTGACTCTGTTAATTGTCTTTGTTATCTTGTAATGGGGGTTGCCTCTCTTGGTTCTCCAGCACTGTTCAGTCTGTTACTGCGCTGTCTGCAAACCCATCTGAGTGCCCATATAGGAAAGAATGAGATGGGAGGAGAGGAGAGAGGTTGGCCTCCAGTTTGGCACTTGGTAGGTGGTTGTTTCTCTCTCTCTCTCTCTCTCTCCATCTCTCTCTCTGTCTGTCTGTCTCTCTCCCACTGTAATGGGTGTGCAGTCTGAATGAATGAGTCACCCTCTACTCAAAGAAACACCACAGTGCTATGTGATACAAGAGATAATTTTAAGCAGATCTGTTGCCTGAGAGTTGAGTTTGTTTGACTAAAGCCACATTGTTCATACTTCTCCATGAAGCTGAAATGTTATATGAGAGATTTTAGACTGTGTTTGACCCTTCATTTTATGCACACTGGCTCAAGAGCTAAATTACTTCCTTATTCTTCGATTGGTCGGTTCAGTTTCAGCTTTGATAAAACGTTTCTGACTCAGGAGATTTTCAGCTGCTTCATATAAATTAAACACAGAAACTTAAACATGTTCTCGCACTGTGGTTCCCAAATGTTTTCCTTAAGTGACCCCTTTTCTGCCACTGAGTAAACTGTCATTGCCACTGATTGAAATGACATATTTTATGGATATTTCATATTATGTTCAATGCATAACAATAACATTACAGAACCACTAATAAACTGTACAATGAACTTAAACAGTGAACACAATAACTGCAGAAGGTTTGTGTAAAACAAGTGATTTGGATGAATTTTGAGCAGATTATTTCCTGTAAATGTTGCATCTTTTTTTTTTTTCACTGATATTTTAAGGTAGCTTTATACAATCTATATTATGTATTTTGTCTTATTTTGTAACAATCATATTAAATTCACTGACACTTGGCCATTGTTCTGTCCAAGGTTCTGTGAAAACATCTTTGGTTCAGGACTTTAAAGTTTATATCTTAAATTATAATCCTAACTTTAAAATTTAATTTAAAAAATCATTTAGTTTTCTTCATAGAAATTAATGAAATGTAGAGATAAAATCAAAGTTTTCTTCAAATCTACAAGGCCTCGCAGACCCTCTGTGATGCTTTGGCGACCCGTAGGTGAGCAAAGAACAAGGTCAGGCTGATTTCTGGGGAAATGTTTGATGGCAAACAGCAACCAAACTATATCTGGATTTCTTTGCAACCTTAAAGCTTCTTAACAGGAAGTAAAAAGAGGAAAACTGGATGCTAATGGCTTATAAAAGCCTTATAAAAGCTATTAGCATTTGGATCCCAAATGTTTTGGTTTGTGAGCCCTTAAAATGAGGCAATATGTGTGTGAGATGACACGAGAGAGAGTTTTCTTTTGGGGGCATTTTATACATTTATTGAGAGTAAGCAGATGGGAAATGAGGTCTAGACTCAAACCTGTGACATTGTGATTACACAGTCACTGCCTTAGACTCCTGGGTCAGCAGGGCACCAATAGTATATATTGTTTTATTTGAGGAATTTCCACAGACCTGAAGAGGTTATTGTGAGTATTGAGGGGGGAAATATAAAATTATATATATATATTTTCTTTTAGATATTATTTTTCTTTACCCTTTTATGCCCCTTCAGATTTATCTTCTGACCCTTTGAGGGATCCTGACCCCCAGGTTGGGAACCACTAATCTAAAGAAACCATCTGGATTCAATTATGTTCTTCTCTGTTGCTTTTTTCTGTTATTTTTCAACCCTTAATATAATATATATATACCACTTATTTTATCTTGTAATAAGATTATTCTTGTTAAGATTATATAACCTGTACTATGCAATTATCTGGCTCTATTTCTTATGATTTAAAGCCTATATTTCCTCCAAATTACACATAATTTTGTCCTGTGCAATTAGATATATTTCTACACCTCCTGCTCTAATATTTGTGTAAATTTCATCCATCTTTCAAAGCAATATTCTTTAATATATATATATAACACATCACGTGTACACACAATTATCTCTATGCAATATTCCATCAATGACATAAAAAGGTGTATATAGTGTACATATAACTCTTACATTTTGTGTTTTTATCTTTATTCAATGTATATTGTGTATATATATATATATATTTATTGTGTTGTATCTTGAGCTGCTGTAACAAGCAAATGTCTCCATTATGGAATAGTCTATTTTTATCTTATATTGTTAAGATTTTAAAGGTGTATTAAGTAGGGCTGTAACAAAATATTGAAAAATATCATATTAGTTTTGAGATTTTGTCTCAATTCTTCAAACACACCAACCTCTGGACAGTAGTGTTGTAAAGGCCTGTGTTAAATACAAATGCAGATCCTATTGTTCTGGTTGCATAAGAAAGTAAACTTTTTACTCTGATTTTATATATCTGTGTGTGTATATATATTAAATCACAATATATCACCTTGGTTACAGCAAGTGTGCTACATATTGTATTGTATTTAGTATTAACTGTAGATGTGTGCACATTAACACTTGCTGTTGTTTCCCGATGTGTAAGCTCTCAATATATTCTTGATTTTTATTAATAAATACCTTTAAAGCTATTTAAGTGCATCTGTTCAGCTCTGCAGTGACTCTGCATGTAATGGAAAAATCCCACTGTCACCAAATGAAAAACACAATTAAAACCCGGATGTTAATTAAAAACCTTAATCAGTGAATTTAATAAAACATTTTAAAAAGGGGAGAAAACGTATTGATCTCAGTGGCTGTTGGATTATTTGCTGTATTTCCTGCAGAGGACATGATGCACCCTCGCTTCCCCACTCGCTGAGTCGGATTGAGAGACTGACACCGACCGCAGAAACACATCATTATCCTCTCTAAACTGCTCTCCAACGCCAATCTGTCCAATGATTCTGAAGACTCAAAAAAGAAAATCGGTCCTGTCTCTTCCAACATGACATAAAGGTGAATTACGAGGAGCGTGTGAGCGCTGCGCGTCGGTTTGTGGCTCGACAGGATCCGTTTTTGTCATGTGGTTTGTGGGAAAACCCGTATTGGATCACTGTGGTCACCTGGGCAAAAGGACCTGGAAAAAAAAGTGCCGTTGAGTGGGCAGACTGTCAACATTAATACTGTACAGGTGGATTTAACTCATCGGGGAAAATATATACAGCAATGTCACAAAGGCGCAAGATAAATAATCCACATGTGCGCAAATATTAAAGCTTCAATAAACCGAGAATAATCCGTTTGTGTCCATTAAACTCTCTGCGCCGGAGGAGTCACGTGAATACTGGGTTGCAATGTCTGAAAATTGTTAACAAAAACGAAGCGACCTTACAGGTAAAAGCAACAACATAAAAAGGCTGTTTTCATGAAGGAACACACCTCACTAACGAGTCCACTCCAGATCTTATTGAGCGCATGTCGCAGCCGCAGCTTTGCGCGGATAAACAGCGGCTGTGCGCAGCAGAGCAACAAAAAGGAAACCAAGGACAAAAAAAAAAAAAGATATCCAACGACCTTAAAAAGGAAATAAGTCTACTATCTGCGCATCAAGTGGTTATTATTAAAGAGTTTAACGAGTAAAAACCCCCCGTCGCCTCCGTGAAGCTGCGTAAAAAAAAACCCGGACTGTTTTCTGTTTTCTCTTTTTTTTTTTTTTTTGGTTTTCCGCACAGACGCAGACGGCTCCGTCCTGTTCGGCAGCGGCCTCCATTTTAGCTCCTTGCCCGGTCGGTGCCTCACGTGTCCTGGACTGTCTTCCTCACATGACCCGTGTGTTTGTCCCCGTGATCAGCGCTTCCATCTCCGTAAATCAGTGTCGTTGAATATCGGCGTTTTACACCCGCAAAACCTTCATGGATATGCTGGAGCAGAGTCTGGACAGCTCGGCGAGGTGAGAGGCTGCTGCCCGCTTCCTGCTCAACCATGGCTCCGACCACGGGCCTAAAACCCGATTTCTCCTCGCAACGCAATGCTGTTAATAACCTGCATGATCCTGATACTTTTAATATTCGTGCATTGTGTGGTTTTGTTGGGTTTTTTTTTTTAACCTCCTCTGGTTGAATGAGCGGCAGTGCAGCCTGCTGGGATGATGAGTTTCTGCATCCATTAAGACATTTTCAGCAGAATTTGTGCGCCCTTTTTTTTTTTTTTTGTATATGTGTAACATCACGATTGCTGTTTTATTTACTTGCCAAGAAAGACAAATGCAGAGCAGTTGGTTGTGACTATTTTTCGGGGTTGCATCTAATAACACTGTGCTGTTGTTGTACCTGATGCAGCTCTTTTAAGGTTTAAATGCTTAAATCTAACTAGGAGGGGCGGTGTTAGGAGTATTATAGTTATTTGTGAAGTTTGTCTCGCCCTGTGCAGCTAATCAAACCACTCAAACTGAAGTTTTAATTCTCAAGAAACTGTGATTTCCCTCCTAGAAGTTGTAGAAAACATGATTTCTGTCTCGCTTGCACGCCAGTTATCTCTCACTTTTATTTATATCTTATTTATAGCCCCCTCATGCGACCACCTGGGGGCGCCCCTCACCCACAACTGCCTATAAGACCTCGCTCAATACATTGATGATAAATAATGATCTTATTTCTGAGAAATGTGCATGTTGGGTTCAGCTTGAAATTGACTCATTGACATTTTTTTTTTGGTTTTCAGTCACGACAAACAGGAAACAGAAGAAGTGGTGCAGTTACAGGAAGGTGGGAGTCTCATTTCGTATAATCCTGACAAGTGAAGCAAATAATCTGCTTCTGTTCTAAAAGCAGAATCTGTGATGCAAAGTCAGGTTTTGCTTTCTTTAAGACGCATTTTAAGAGATCTTGAACAAACGTACTTTGTGTGTCTGCTGCAGAAATGTATCCACTCATATCTGTATTTTCCAGATTTGAAACATGTTGACCTGTGTGTGTTTGTGTTTGTGTGTGTGTTGCAGGAGAGACGGTGGGGACGGAGGAGCAGACTGCAGTGACCATCACTGGTGTCCCGCAGGCTGCGTTCGCTGACCACAATGTTCAGTACCAGTTCCGCACAGAGAACAGCGGAGGACAGGTGAGCACGGAGAACCTCTCTTCTGCACAGCAAGTGTGTTCGTCGTGGTAGCTAAGCACATCCAGGAAGTTTAGTTAAGATAAAGATCTATTTTTTGAGACAGGACTGCAAAATGCACAGTTCAGGCACATTAAGCAGTTATCACACACACTGATAGTATTCACAGATATCACTTAGTAGAAACTTCAGAGGAAGGAACAGAAAATATATTTCATGGAGATAGGCGTATGCTCATTTCTTCCTCCTGCTAAATGCACTTATTATTAAGTATTAAAAATGTGTTCAGTGTTTTGTTTCTGGTGGCAAAACAAGATCCTTTACTGCTGCAAAATGCACTTAAATTGTCTCGTTTATAAAGTGAGTGTAGATTCTGTAAGAAGGAGATGGGCTCTCCAAACTGCCTCTACTGTGAGGGGGAAAAATGAAAGCTTGTTAACCTAAATGCATTTATTTAGTTTCATTTATAAAGTATTTAAAGTGTGTACATTGCTTGTATTTAATTTTTCCTCAATGCACAAATTTTCGCTCATAAAGTGATTTTTTTTTTTATGAGAGGAAAAAAAACCTAAATGCCTTTATTTTGATTAATTTATAAGGTATTTTAAATGTATAGAAATATGACGTGCTGCAGAAATAGCAGTAAAAAAGGACAGAAATGTTGATTTATGAATTGGGTGGCCATGAACTGTCATTTCTGAAAAGTGGGCGCCCCCCCCAAAAAAAGGGGAAACACTGGTTTAAACCATCCCTTACACTTTAACTCTTGTGTGTTTTGAAAGGCTAGAAAGGAGAAATCCTCAGTATTGCTTTTACCACAGCAAAGCCGTGTCTAGTTATCGATGCTGAGCTAAGATTGGACTATCGCTGTTCGGTAGAAGTGTTCAACTAACGGTTAATTTAAATCCAGCGTGCTGTTGGATGAAGGCTAATGTATTAGGATGACACATACATTATAAACTGCACATTATTCTTAGACGTGTTCGCAGCAGGTTATTTTGTGGTGGTTGATTTGAATTCTGGAAATAACCACAAACCCAAAGTGTTGTAGGGAAACAGATGAGACAGATGATAACACCTGATAACGATTTCTGGTGCTCGAGAAGCTTAGGAAAACAAAATGAGCAGTTCCTGGTGTAAAGGTTAGGTGAAACAGACAGAGGATGAGTGTGGTGTGAAGGTAAATGTCAAAAACTGTGTGCTGAGGTGAAGTTGGCTGTTTCTTGTCCTGGTTTCACTTCACACAACACACATAAAACGTTTAAAGATCACCAAGATCACACCTCGGTTTCAGTTTTCTTTTAAACAATTGCTTTAGTTATAGTTTTCTTTTTTTAAACTTAACTCTTTGCTCTGTCCTCAGGTGACCTATCGTGTGGTTCAGGTAACAGACGATCAGTTAGAAGCAACAGCTGACGGGACTGGAGCCGTCAGCGTCGTCTCTACCGCAGCGTTTGCTGGAGCCCCTCAGGCGGTGGCACAGGTGAGTAACCATACTGTGAAACTACTACAAAGACACACACAGCAGGGATGCCCCAATCCGATCTCAGTAATCCGTATCGGCACCGATCAAGGCGATCAAAGCTTTACTTATTTGATCCTATCTTTTGTTTTACGTCAGCTGTCACACAGCTGTCATTAGTCACAAAGCTTTCATGCACGGCCATCATCAACTGTCTCTACTGTCTGCCTCTCCACTCTGAGCTCTGTGTGAGAGAGCAGAGACAGTGGTAGAGAGCCAACACAACCACACTCAACGTGTCACTGCAAGTGCAACAAAAGCCCTGCAAACAAATTAATTCATGTAGTCCATGCAAAAGATGTGGAGAGGATGGAAATAAACACTAAACAGAATACAGACCGTTCATTCAGGACAAGGCTGCACCAAACACTGGAGAGAGAAACTCCCTCCAGACAGCGAGCAGACCAGAAACATAACAGAGGGTTTGTTATTTTATACTTTATAGTCTTAACAGCTTGGGTGCATGCATTTTTTTCCTTGATGCAATGCAGAGCTATTCAATTGTCAAGCATACATTGGACTGACTTTAATGTACGCGTGCAATATGCTCTGTGTTATCTAAAGAAAGTATCAGATCGGCAGATAATCAATATTAAATGACTCAGATCGGGACTTCCCTAAAACACACACACTCTTACTGTATACTATATTAGTTGTTAACCGGTTGAACAACTTGTCCCTTACTCTCCCTTCTTCCAGGCTGTCATACAGAACCCGTTCAGCAATGGGGGCAGTCCTGGCGGCGAGACTGTGGGAGGAGAGACGCGTTTCGCTTATTTCCCCGCCGCCACCGTCAGCGATGGAACAGCCGTGTCGGTGCAGGCCACCACCGACCCAACGATCACCCAGGCAGGAGGTGAGAAAACAGCATTCGCACCTCTTCAAGATCATCTGGGGGGAGAAAAGTGACACTTTGTCTTAGATGAAAATGAATGATTAAAATGAGGGACAGGACAGAATTCAAATATCGTATCGCGACATTTTGTTTTGTTATATTCTCTCAAACACTATTGGCTTTTGTGACTGAACTCCTAACCGTTAGATGGCTGATGTTGTTCAATGTTACGGGGACTTTTTGCTCAGATTTTATGCATGGTGTGGACAGTTTTCCAACATATCATCATATCATGCTCACAATATTGCAGTATGTCACAATATATTGTATATATTTATAATGCATTGAATTGTAACGCCAGACTCTTGCCACTCAGGTGGTAAAGCGGATCAGAGAGTCCCTGGAACCCCCCATAGTATCGACAAATAGTTTATTTTTCTCTTTCTCCATACATGTATTATTAACATTTCCAGTTGGTTCATTATCACTATAATATTATTATTATTTATTATTATATAAATTATTATTATCCCAAGCTAAGAATAAAAATGTGTCATAACAAATTCCCTCCGAAACACCCATTTTACCTGCAGTAACTGCGTTTACGTCACAGTCATTATTGCTATCAAGACTTTTCATCATCTTCTTTTCACTTTTCTTGTCTTTGTGTATTTTATTCCTGCTTATCAGTGTTGTATTTGTAAAGTCACTACTGTTATTTTTTCGGCTGTTAGTCCATTTCCCATATTTTAGTCTTCCGTCAACTGTCTCCTAAACTCCAGGTCAGTTTTATGTGATGATGAGCCCCCCTGAGGTACTACAGACGGCGGCTCCTCGCACCATCGCACCGCGCACGCACACCTACACTGCGTGAGTATAACTAAACACTTCCCCACATATCCATCCCATCCCTGAAGTTACCAAATCACCATATCTCTCTCTTCCCCCCAACGTGTTTGGCCGACTTCTCACCTCCCCATTTTCTCACCCCTTTCCCTGTAACTTCACAGTGGATCGGATGTTCTTTATCTCTTCCTTCCCTTTTTGGAATGATTCGTTTTTTTTTTTGTCATTGTGTGTACAAATGAAGATACAAAAATAAAGAAAAAAGAAATTCTATATCCATCATTTAAAACCTCCAACATCTGAAAACCACACTCTGTCCTACTTACCTGCCATCCCCAGAGACCTTGGTGAAAGCGAGATGTTGCAGCATGGCAGTTCAAACTGGTGAGAAGAACTTTCACATACGCCCCCACCCTGCCCCCATCATGTGTTGTAGAGACAGACGTTTGGCGGATCACTAATCAGTCATTAGCAACTTGTGTATTGTGAATTGTATGTTGACAGTCATAGGATGTTGCTAGCTTAAAGCTGTTAACTAAACCTGAGTCCCGTTGTCACAAATAAGGCTAATAGCACATTGTATATCTTAATTCAGTGGTGGGATCCCACAAAACTTTGCCCTTCAGAGGACCTGAAGGTTCAGCTGTGCCTAAACTAATGGTGCATGTGGGTACTCCTCGTCAACCAGCCAATTAATAAATTAATAGTAATAATAATAATAATAGCTAAAGGCCAAAAATGTGTGGATTTTCTTTGTTAACTGGGTTCTAGTTCAGGTGTGTAATGTTGAAAATCTGACATTTTATTCATAGTTTCGTTGTTAAATGTTGTTTTGCTGTGTCTTTACAGGAAGGTGGAGGGTCCACGGGCGCCCAGAGATGAGAGGCGAAGAGCACAGCACAATGAAGGTATGTGGCCATCGCTGTCAGGAGTGTTTGAAACTATTCTGTCTTTGTAGTGATATGTTGACGTGTGTGTATATAGGTCCTGAAAGTTTTTAGTTTGAAAGGAACTTAAAGAGTTTCCTGTTTTTAAAAAAAAAAAAAAACTAAATATATACGAACTGCAGCTTGGTGGTTAGAAAATTAAAACATTTCTTTCTTTGCAGTGGAGAGAAGAAGAAGAGATAAGATTAACAACTGGATTGTCACACTTTCAAAAATCATCCCCGACTGCAGCGTAGACAGCAGAACTGGAGCGGTGAGTGCTGCCTTCAAAATAATATTATTATAGTATTATAAGTGTGTAAAATGGTGTCAGATGGCTGTACATTAAAAACACTAAGTCGTATAAATCTGTCAGGGTTTTTTTTTAGGTCACACTGCTGTAAATGTATGCATGTTTAAGCATCCAGCCCTTATAAACTTGACCTCTTCCATACTTGAATCGGTGCACTCTCTGTCTTTTCCCCTAATGCTTGCTTCTGGCATAACTGACGCTGACAGTCAGACCGAAAAGTTTTCGTAACCACTCTCTAACCAGACTCTCAGTCTCGGTCGTAACGAGTTTCTATTAAGTAGTATTTGTAAGAAAGTATTTGGTCTTTTAACAGCTCAATGTGCTGTAATTTCTCAGAGTAAAGGCGGCATCCTGTCCAAAGCCTGCGACTACATCCGAGAGCTGCGGCAGAGTAACCAGCGACTGCAGGAGAGTTACAAAGAGGTGGAGCGGGTCGAGATGGACAACGAGCTGCTTAGACAACAGGTTAACTTCCCATTTAAACCTGTCGAGCCTTGAGTGCAGTTGAATGTACATGTCTAACCTTCTATTTTGTGTGATAGAAACAGAACTCTTGAGATGGCATGTGAGCATAAGGTTGTCGATGTTATTTGTCGTATAAGTAGAGAAAACATCTCGGCAGGTAACAACCCGTTCAAATCCAACGTAAAATAACCAATAACTAAAGATTAACCTTACCATATATATCATACATCTTAAAGCAAGCTTGTGTTACATTTGGATGAAGCATTAGCAAATTCTTCCCTTTAAATGCTATGAACGTTCGCTAATTTTAGCTCGATATTGCACGGCAACTGACTCGCTTAACTGACTTCTTATGGTGCTTTTAAGTTACGTGTTAGGATACATCGCAGATTTATATTTCAGTTACTTACCCCAAAACTTCCAATAAAAGCAGGGTCCCAAAATAGAGGCAGGTCTCCTTTACAAGCCTAGTGTGGATATTATAGAAATTATCTCAATGTATTAAACCTCTTAAACCCACCGGGCTGCCCACTTGAGGGGGGTGTTCAGTGATTTAAATAAATGAAATGCAAATAAATGCCCGGGCTATTATTATAAGTTTTACAGTAAATCACAAAAATAAGACAGGAGTAAAACACACACCGTAATTTCCAGTTTCTTTTATTTTTCTTATTTTTCTTTTTCTTTTCTTTTTTTAACTTTTATCTCATAAGACATGTACACTGTATAACTCAAATAATCTTGGAAAATATAGGAAAATACAATGTGCCAGTATACTGTTATTACCCCACTGTGTCATTATCACATTGTTACATAGACACACAATGACGTGTTTACTAATGTTGTACTTTCCAATGACAAAAGTGAGTGAAACTAAGCTCACTTTATATACATATATATGTCTTTTTATATGTATTTTTCAGTGTCCAATTATCTTTTATTCTTCTAGATTGAGGAACTGAAGAACGATAATGCACTCCTTCGAGCACAGCTACAGCAGCACGGCGTAGAAATCAATGGGGATGCAACACCACAGTGATTGTGGACTTGGACACATGTAACATCACAAACACAATGTCGCATCCTCCCACCCACCTGAACAATACCAGGAAAGGAATAACAGTGAGAGACAAAATTGGACCACAAAAACACGAGCTGGGCTTGAAGATAAACCCTGAGGGACTACAAAGTGAAAACCCCTCCTCCACCTCCACCTCTTCGAAGGCTGAACGCTCTGAAATCCGTTAACTGTGTAGCTAACTGAACCTCTCACCTCTGCTTCAAGGAAAACAACCTCTGCACAGCACCGCCACGCTTGCACCAAACTTTCTTTTTACTTTAAATTATGAACCTGCCACTGAAAATTTACTCTGATTTCACCTTTTTACCGCAAACGTGTTCCTTTTTAATTTTAATTTTATTTTTATTTTTTGTCGTCATTCGCTGTGTTTGAAACTACTAAATGTGACATGAATGATAGTTCCCATTTACTTTTTAATTTATTAGTCTTTAAGGAATGTGTACACGTAAAAGAAAAGCTGATCTCTGAATTCACTCTTTCTCCAGTAACAAACAAATAATGGGCAGATCAAATATTTTGAGCATGCCCATCACTGCTACTAAGGATTGTTTTACAGATGTGGATCGTGGGTATATTTAGTTGATCTGTGTGCAATTTGGGGCAACTTTTGTCAATTTTTGCCTCTTTACACTGACACTCCAAGCACCGGGCAGAGCTCACAAACTTTATAAACACAGTCCAATATCAGTAAACTAATACTTTTTTCTGACAGTCAACGTAAAAAAAGCAGCTTTGATAGCACAGGCATGGAGGTTTTATTTTTAGTGCAAGGCCTTAATAGAAGCCTGTTGGAGAATCTAGGTGTTAACATAGCTCAGGTAATTGGGATAGTGCACTGGCAAGTGGTTCCCAAACTCAATGAAGTCTTTACATTATGGAGTTTAGAGCTCTGTTGTGTCCCCATTAGGTGCAATGTACAGATAAGAGTATGAAGATGATTTTTAACGGGCATTAAAATATAGTTTGTATATCTGCTTAATAGGTCACTGGTGTAATGCACTGAAATAGAGGTTCAGTCATGAGAGGTCTTGTTTGAGACCGGCCTCTGTACGGCCCCCTAGTCCTGCTGCATTTAGGTGGACACCTGAGGTGGCTTCTTTTTTTTTTTTTTCTTTGCAATATTCCCTAAATCTTTAAAACTTTTGGGAACCGTCGCTGCTGACAGAAGACCACAAAACAACCACGGTCAGGAATGTGCTGAGGGTAGTTAATGCGAGTGATGATAGTTGTAACTAACCAGCTTTTGTCTACACTGAAAGTCACCACAGCATGGAAATATAACCACTGGCATGACTAATTCTGATACTACAATAAAACAGAAGTGTTTATACCTGAGTGCTGTTTATCACAGACATTTTTGTGCATTTCAAAGTTGCCTTTGAGCAGCAAGTTGGAGGTCAAATTAAGCTATTTTTATTTTCTGTTTTTCCGTTAAAATATATTTAAATCGTTTGTTAAATATGAAGGAAATGTAAAATAACATTTAATACGAGGTTGTTCTACCTTCTTGAAGTTCCCCGTTGGCTGATGATGTCACAGGATCCCAACCGACATTTAAACGTCACGAACGTCGCCAAACTGCTATTTTAATTATTAAAAATAGTTTCAGTGGAACGTTGTGTCAGGCCCGTTGCCTGGAGACGGCTCGAGTAGTTGTTGCTATAGGAAACCAGCACGCGCCGACTATCTGAACGTTCTAGAATTCTGGTGAGTAAAATTCAAGAGAAAGAACTTAATGAGATCTTTTTTTTTTTTTTTTGTTAAATGTCGCGGTATTTGAGATTTCGAGCTTTGTTTACGGCAACAATAACTAATATGAGGGGCTTCGTGTTTTTGGGAGTAACCGTAGCGACACTTTATGGCCTTGTCACTTCGAAAGGCTGAAAATACCGTAGAAGTCAATGAGCTATTCAGTGACAATGTTTCTCATTTTTTTGTGTTTAAAACTCTAATTCATCCCGATTTTTTTTTTTTAGTGTTAGTTGCTGGTTTTACTGGTTCGCTCGTCCACATTCCTTCATAAAGTCTGCCCTCATGTTAATATAACTGTTATATGTCATTACAAGTTCCATTTCCGTCCACCAGCGTCCTACTAGCAGACATCAAATTAATGCTGCATGCAAACATATGCTTGGTTAAATATACATACCGTAAACTACATGCATGCAATGGTAACACAACACTAACGTTTTAGTCACTTAAAAATTGTGTTATACAAAATTAAATTATTATATTCAATGATACAGTGAAGAAGCCGAGGTGGTAGCTACTAATTCTAACTACTTATTAAACAGTAGGGTTTAACTGTAATAATGCATTTTGAGTCAGTCATGTGCTATGTAAAAACTTATTCTGCAAATTAACTGATTAACTACTGTAGTCACCAAGTAGTGCACCAAACAATAGAATATAAAATATTATAAGAACTGTAGTGATAAAATCTCACTCATATATATGTGTGTGTGTATATATATATATATATATATATATATATATATATGTGTGTATATATATATATATATTATATATAATATATATATATATATATATATATATATATATATATATATATATGTGTGTGTATATATACACATATATGAGTGTGTGTGTGTTGTATGTATGTATGTATGTATGTATATATATATATACATACATACGCATTACATTTCCTTCGTTGTTTCGGGTGATTCAGAGGAAATGATGTGATCTCAGTTTTACTGTCAAGGGTCAATATAAACTCTTTCCTCTCTTTAAAGGAGTATTATGATTTAGTAAACTCAGTTATTCGTAATATTTGAAAGCAGGTGTGTGTTAAATGGATATTGGCTACCAATGGGGATTCTGCTTCATCATCTCTCACTGCTGTATATAGTAGCTCTGTTGGCTCTGTTGGCTCTGTCTGTGTTTACTGTGAAACTCAATGGTATCAATATGCTTCTGCGAGAGTGTCACTCTGCACATTTAACTGTACTTGGCAAATACAGTGATTGGGTTATTTATTGACTGCAACAGAAGGATGTCTGCACTTCCTGCAAAGCCCGGCCTGCGCCACAGTGTATCAGAGTGGCACAGCAACAACCACCAGCTGTCTGCCACGGCACAACACGAGCGACATGTTTCTAATGTGGTCCGGCAGGAAGGGAGGTCACTACGCAACGAGACCAACTGTAAGGTGGGTTCTTGTTTGTGAGGGATGTCTACCAGAAAGCTAAACACATCTGTCACATTCTGCAGGATGATGAATATTTCATAACAGCCTCCCATTTTCATTTTCTTACACCTTTTCTCTGCAGACGACCTGGGATGAAAACGACACCTCTCGCAGGTTGAGTGACAGGATTTGGGATGTTGCCCGTTGGAAAGAGGCATTAGAAACCTGTGCACAGAAAGTGGATGAAGAGATGGAGGCTCTGACCCTGGTGATTTGTCCAAAAACCTCTAAAACAACTGAAAGTTTTACTTAAAACAGAATTTATTTAAGGCTTTATACTCTTATACCTGTGTGACTTTACCTTGATGTGTGTTGGGACAGTCTAAAGAGCAAACCGAGCAGGCCCTGGCTGCTACTGCCGTTCCTCTGGAGGTCAGCAGCGAGTGCTTGACACTGAGGGACGGACGGCGAGGGTACGAGCTTGTCGTCGACCCCGTACACGAGCAGCTGAAAACCGAAGTGGAGCTGATTGAAAGAGTGCAGCAAGATCTGCAGCAGCACATAGACAAGGCCTTTGAGCAGCTGTGGTAAGGGACGCTATGGTGTGATGCATTTTCTTTTATTGCTTTTTGTTTGACCACCTTTCTTTGTTTTTGCTCCCAGTGTTTTGCAGGAGGCTCGACACCAGCTGACTGCTGACCTCCAGAACAAGATGGACGCCCTGGACATTGACATGTCCTGTCTCTCGCTTACAATAACGTCACCTCAGATCTCCCTGAAGACCAATCCAACTCGCATACCATCAGGGTTTACAACATTTTACATCTAAATATGAATTGTTTTGCCAAAGCTCAAAAAAGTTAATCTGATTTATGGGATTTTTACTCATAATTGCAAAATTCCTCTTTTTTTATACAATATCTCCTGGTGTAATCTTTTAAGCAGAATAAACTAGAATAATGCTTCCTTTCTCAGCTTTCCTAGTAAACTCCTGCCTCATTAAGAAAAATGCACAAATGTCTTCTTTGTTGTAGTTCCTCCACCCCCCAGGAGTGGGTCCAGTTCAGCCAGTATAATGTGGCTCGAGCCCAGGAGGCCATGCAGGTGTCCCAGCAAATGAGGGAGGATATGAGTCTCACCAGAGCCCAGGTGTGTTTGATGTAACTACACCTGCATGTGTAGTATTTGTAGTGCAAATTTAAGGCACGTACGATGCAGGTAACAGGTTACTTTAGCTCATGACTGAATGAAACACAAACATCAAAGCAGGGGCTCTTAAAGCAGTGGTTCCCAACCTGAGGGTCGGGACCTTCACTAGGGGTTGCCAAAGCGTCATGGGGGGGTGCCGCAAGGTCTTCTTGATTTCGAGGGGTGGAAGAAAACTTTGTCCAATAGAACAATGGCCAAACATCAGGGACAAGAAAACACTGAATTTGTCAAAAAAAGAAGTCTGTTAGGTCTTTTATTTAAAAAAATACATAATACAGACAAATAATTGTATTAAAAGTTCCCTAAAGAGGAAATAATCTGCTCAAAATTCATCCAAATCAAACTTCTTTCAGTTACTGAGTTCACTATTTGGATTAATTAGTTTTTTTTTAACAGTTTTTAACATAATATGAAACGTCCATAAAATATATAATTTAAAATGGTCATTAGTTTACCAACTGATAGAAAAGGGCTCCCTTAAGGAATCACTGTCACTAGTCTGGGAATGTTGTGCATCAATCTTGTTCTCATTTTTTCTGTGGCCACAGTGTAAGATATGGTGCATTCGCAATAATTTCCTTCTCTATTCTCTGTTTCTTAGCTGCAGAATGAGTTGGACATTCAGCGCAGGGCCACAGAGTTTGCTCTCCGTAAGCGTAATCACCATGAAGAGCAGGCCCGCGACGAGCTGGAGTGGCAAATAAGAAATGTAAGATATCCAATATCCAATTAAAATAACAGGTTTGTATGGTTTGTGGATTGTGGATACATCAGTTTAAATCCAGCCAACCTCCTAGTAACTAAGTGTTTAAGCTTTATAGTGAAGTTTGTCTGACTGTGTGTCCATCTGTCTGTAGACTGAAGATGAAATGGCAGAAATGGAGAGTGACATCCACGGGCTAGATGCAGATCTGCAGGCGAAAACAGCCTCCCTGAAACTAGCTCACACCCGACTAGAGAACAGGACCAACAGACCTGGGATGGACCGGTGCAGAGACGAGGTTTAAATAAAGCACATACATCGAATATAGAATATTATTATTATGTTTTGAAAGGCTCCTTAAGAGGCTTCGTCCTGTTTGATCTGTTGCTTCCTGTTTGTTTGCAGGTGCAGCACGGCCTCGTAGATGAAGTCCATCAGCTGGAGGCCACAATCACGGCTCTGAAACAGAAGCTTTCTGAGGCTCAGTGAGTCACAGTTTTGCTACTATGATCATCAAGTCGAGCTAATAGTTTATTTTATTACTTTATTGTATTTATTTGCACATACACGGAAGTCAAACATCACATTCAAACAGGAACATTCAGTCATTAGGGAGTGTTATATATATCTATAATGCTCATTTAGGAATGTTTTATATGCACATAATGATGTTTTAAACCCAGCAAATAAAAGCAATAAGAAGCCACAAAAGTAAATAGTAGAAATAATTCAAAATAGAGGTTACAGGCCTACAGTTAAAATGAACAAATAATAGTTTTGAGTAATACCAGAAAGTAAAGAAATCTCTTTAAAACTTTCATCCCTGCTCCCGTCCCATACTCACTCTCAGGCACTCCCTGCAGAAGATGAAGCTCCATCACAGCCGCATGTTGCAGGATCTTTCCAGAAAACAAGAAGCTCTGTCTCTGGAACAACGGAGCATGAACACCCGTACCCGCCTCGCGTCCCCCTCCTGCACTGATAAAACCCCGGTGCTGCTGGTTCCACTCACAAACTCCAGCGGGAGGAGCAACCTGCAGCTGCTGGCTCAGTAAGACGATGGCAGTATCCAGATTGTTAAAGGGGAAAGGATTAACAAATATATATTAGGATGATTCATTAATTTTTAGCTTTAACTTCATGTTTTTAACTCTGCAGTCGCAAACGAGCAATGGACATCACACTAAAATGTTCTGTTCATACTTAATAGTAATTAATCATCCCCATGAGAACAAAACAATTATGTTTTATTTATTTGTTTCAACAAAAACTGTCATTATAAAATACTCTCCTTTTTTGTGTGGTTAATTTGCTTTTAGTTGTGTTGTGTTAAATAATCAATTAGGTACTTTACCTGTTTAAGATGTAGATTTTAAGCTTGTTTAATGGAGTCTTAACTAAACATTTAGTCATGAAGATATTTCTGACATCTGAATGTATTTTATGCGTTTGAGTTTTTGTTTTTGTTTTTATAATTTAGTGATTGCACATAAAAGTTCACGTTCATGTCCGGTAGGGTCATTGCTTTCATCAACCATTAGCTTTAATGGCTTTGTTTGTCCTCGTCATAGTGTTTGATCAACTGACGCTGTTTGGAGCACGAAGATGTAGATAATGAAGTGAACTTTGACTCATACAGTATACGCGGTTTAGATAAAAAATCTAAAAACAGGCAGTAAACACGGTCCTTCAGACAATAAACCCCCGCCCTCTGAATCTCACCTGACTCAGTTGTAACGTCTTTAAATGGATGTTTTTGTATCAGTTGCAGCAGGATTTAGATAAGAGAGAAAAATCAGTTTTTAAGAAACCGCACAGTCAGTACCATATTGTTAGTTATAGAAAACCTCTTAGGAAATTAGAATAATTGTTCATCGCTAAAGACAAGAACACTTATTATTTCACAATGATCTTTTACTAAACCACATAAGTACAGTGAGCGCTAGAAGGTTGAGATTATGTTGATTGGGGAACATTTGGAAATCAGGAAATGGTTCGACTGACATTACAAACAGTGAGAGGCACCCAGTCTTATTCCTTTAAGTTAAAGTTAAAAGATAATTCACTAGCTAAATAATCTAAGTTGATAAGACGCTCAGCCACTAGGTTTTGTCTACGTTTTTACTTTATGTACAAGTTGAATCATAAAAAATAACGATGCATGATATGGATTCTTTCTCAGCCGATATGATAACTGATAATTAGCTGTTTCTCATGGTCAGTACAGATAAAATAACTAATAAACTCACATGTTTGTGTTTTAAAAAGAAGCTCATAATGTTCACCTGATGGCAAGAAAGGCTAAGATGGATGATATATTATTCTATAGCTCTAATTTAAGCAAATCTAAAGCTCACTATTGTTAACAACAACAACAAACAACAGCTTTGACTCTTCAAATGTTAATTTATGTTTTCTAGTAAAGTATCAAAAAACTACACAAACAAACTGTTTAGCTTTCATGGAGCATAAAACCTATAATTTTACATAAGAATTCAAAAAAAATTGTTATTATTATGGACTGATAATTTATCCATTGGAATTTAATTATCAGGATAATTCATAATAATATAAATCTCCCATTATCGGCCCTGATGGTTATCGTGCATCCCGAGCTGTCCACTCCATAAATTGACTGTTTTAGTTCACCCTCACCACCCTCATAGTGAAACTTTTCGGCCACAGCAGTTTTTAGTGAAAAAGCTTTAAAGGCCCTTTGTACACAACTTGCTCAGCACCAAACAGCACACAGACACAGCTCGTGGCTATCTGGTGAAACATTTAGCAGATAAAGATCCACAAATATTTCCTTCAGGAGTTGGTTTAGGAGACCAAAAACAGAAGTAAAAGAGGTTGAACATCGGGTGGCCAGAAACATGACTCCAAGTTAATGACAATGTTGCTCCGTAACTGTTGGATGTGTCTGTTTTCCTCATTTAAAAGGTAATGATATTGGCCAAAACGTCAGTTATTGCAGGTTTAAGGGTTTGCTTTCTACTCTGGCAAATATACATCGTTCTGAAATGTAGTAGAGATAATGGGATTACTGCCATTCAGCAAAATTAATTATTGAGACAATCCTACCAGTGTCCTTAAAATCCCTAGGTTTTGTGATCCCAGTTCATCTGGAACTAATTAAATGGCCCTCATGTTGGAAATACCCACTGCAACCTCCTGACGTTTCCTGAAAAACAAAAATATGGTGAATGGGGTGAATGAAGGCTGTGTCGATGTCACTTTCACTTCAGCTAATAAATAAGGTAAATATGTAGTCATTACTTTGCAAACATTCATTTCTAGATATCAGAGGAGTAACTACACACATTTGTTTTGAGCAGTGGATCAATAGACTAATCAAACAGCCGTGTTTTCAATGGCTTTTCTCGGAAAAACGCTTCAGGGTATCTGTTATTCTGCTCCAATAAAATGCTTCTGCAACAAGTCCCAGTGATTTTCTGCCCCATTTTCTTCACCAAAAGCCTTTTGCACTGCACACCCACTCTCCTCTCACACTCACTTTCACACATACACACACTAAACAACTCATTCTCGAACCATAAAACTGCGTGAAGCGCCAGAAACAAGTCACCGTTTCCCTAAGCCCAACCCATCCTGTCCTCGCATCGACCATCAACTTCAGCACATTTATGACTTTACTGCCCGGCCCTCCAGTTCATTTAGACAGCCCCAGCTTTAAGGGGATGGCCATGTGCTTCCTGACACGCTGAATTATTCTGAATCATTTCACTTAAGGGCCCAGATGCTACCTGTCTGTTGCCCTCCGCTGAGAGGGCAATTAAGGCAGCCTGGTGCCTGCTAAATGCCCCCTACTTCTGCATGAGCAGATGCGTCTCCTTATCTGCATCTCTGTCATGATGTCGTGTGCACCTCGCCCCCTTCGTGCCCACATGCATCAGCACCTTTGTGGCCAACGCCTCTTTTTTTTTTTCCTTCTTTTTTTTTTTTGCTTGTCTCAGAGATGTTGCCCATGTCTCAGAGCGGAGTCTGAACATGACGGAGGGAGAAACCTGGCACTACAGCAGCTCTCTTGCCAGCTTGGAAAAAGTAAATTGCTGCTACGAATGGAGAATCTGTCTTTTAAAAGATGTGGTTTATAAGCGGAGAAGGCACGAGGAAGACTATTTGGCAAATAATCGGTTTGTTTGGCTGTTTTAGTCGAGACTTTCCTGTCAATTTATCCTTGTCGTGGTAAACGGGAGGCGGTGCTATCTTGGTGCTGGACTTCCCATGTCTCTCAGCTGTGTCCTAAACTGAAGAGATGCAGGTGTCTTTCAAGGAGTGCTTCGCTATCTCCGTCAACATCTTCACCTTTCTGCTGGGCCTTCCCGCCAACCTACTGGTCCTGTTCGTGTATGTGCGCAAGGCCTGCAAGCGCGGCGCCACACCAAATGTGGTCTACGCCCTGAACCTGTGCCTGGCCAACCTGGTGCTTGTGGTCTGGCTGCCAGTCAAGGCTACGGAGACTTTGCTTCAGGACTGGACGCTGCCAACATCCATCTGCCCCATCTACAGCTTCTTCCTCTTCTCCTCGCTGTACGGCAGCTGTCTGTTCATCACCGCTGTGACGGTGGGGCGCTACCTCAGCATCGCATTCCCAATTATCTACAAGAGATACCGCCGTGCTCGACTCTCTTGCTTCATCAGCGTTGCCTTGTGGGCCTTGGTGCTCTTTCACCTCAGTTTCGCCCTGGTGGCTGAAGGAGGGGCTCACTTTGTCTCCAATGAGGGTGAAGCCTCAGCCTGCTACGACCACTTCAACGCCTCCCAGCTGGCTGTTCTGCTGCCTCTACGGCTGGAGATGGCCATCGTCTTGTTTCTTTTGCCTCTGATTGTGACGTCCTTTTGCACGCTGCGCTGCGTTACCCTGGTGTGGCACTCAAATTTGCGCCCTATGGGAAAGAGAAGAGTCCTGACTGTTGCGCTCACCACGCTGGCTGTGTTTGTGGTGTGCAATGCACCCTACAATGCCTCGCACATTGTGGGGTTTGTGTTGAACGACAACGTCAGTTGGAGGACGTACGCTATTCTGACAAGCTCCTTTAATGTTTTCCTGGAGCCCGTGGTGATGCTGATGCTGTCGCCAGCAGTGTCGAGGGGAATCATGGGAAGAATGTGTGGACGGCAAAGCCAGTTCAGCCGGATTGAGGGGTTGCGGCATCAATGTAAAAGCGCTAACGGTGTTGCAAATGTCAGGGCACCGCCTACGCTATCGGAGAAGAGCCAGGCGGAGGCCGAGGTGACTAAAGAAAGTCAGGAGTGAGATCACAGTGGGTGGAGAGTAATCGTGACAAATCCAAAAGGAGAAAAAAAACAGAAACATTCGTGGACAGTCTCATAGAAGCTGTTTGAGTGTGCCTTCAAACAGACCCAGAATATCCACTGCTGTATGGCTCTTTAGCTCCTCCTAACAGACCCACCAATAAATGATCTTGATCAGGGGTTCTCAAACTTTTTCCAGTAATCTTGAACTATTTTTTAAAAGTAGAAAGTTCCCTCTGACTGGCTCAAAACATTTATGGTTGATATGGTCTTGAATAAAAGAGGTACAATACAGCCCAACCTTGTAACTGAAAACTACTTCAAAACGCTTCATTTCAAATGTTTTGAATTCATGGAAAAACAATGTTTTTGTCATCACGCAGTAACACTGAGATGGAAATTAACTGGTTTTGATAAATTGCACTTTTATGTATTTGTTGCACACTTTAATGAGAAATATGGGCTTGTGTCAGATTCATTAATTCTCAGTGGCAGGGAGGCAACTGCACTGATCAAAGTCTTTCCCAGAGGTTTTAGGGCCGTTTATGGACACGACTGCATTGTAAAATGTGAATGTTGAATATAAAATGTGGTTTATTGAACTGACATTTACATTTATTATTTAACTTCTTATAGAAGAAGTATAGTATATTATCTCACCTCGCAGTACTTCAAAGTACAACTCGGAGTACATGTTCCCGTTTGAGAAACACTGATCCAGATAATGTCTCTTCAAGTCATTTCAGGGCAGAATGGTTTAATCAAAGCTATATCGCACCGTATCATCAGACCACAACTTCCTCTTTTTTCTTCATATCAGACGTTTCTAAAGAAAAAAGATGATGAAGATGATGACAAAAGCAGTTTTTTTGTATCCCAATGTAATATCAGTGGTTTTGCTGATGTTTCACACACTGTGAACTGCTGAAGGTTTTGGTAACTATCAGCAGACCTGGAAATCTGGAAGTTTATTGGTCAAGGAAACTGCACATCTGTGAAATGCACATCTTTTTCAAACTCCATAATTCAACAAGTCAGTGATGAACTTTATGTGAGACGGTTAGTTTGGTGGCAAATGGCTCCATCTGGTGTCTGAATGTTCTGGAAAGCTTATGTATAATAAATAAATAATCTCCTGTAGAGTGTTTTTAGACAAGCTGACCTGTGAGCAGATTGTTCCTGTGGCATATTTCTGGACTTAAAATCACAGAATTATATTATATATAGTACTATATACTATACTAAAACTAATTATTGCTGCACTTTAAAAAGGGCCTTGGCTCAATTGTCTCACTGGCACACCTGAATGTGTTCGTAATTGCACCTTTTTCTGCTATAATGAGTCAAAACTGGTCCACTGAGGCAAAAAGGTTCATCATCAATCTGATGTCTGAAGTTAATTAAACATTTATTATTATTATTATTATGTTTGTGCATTAATTGATTGGTTTGTGAATATGTTGATTTGTTTTCTCACTTAAGTCTGTTTACTAGTAAAAATGTCCTTCAAAATAAAGTAATATGTTTACAAGTGTATTGTGTCTTTAAAAAAATAAAGAAACATGTTAGAAGACTTTTAATGAGTATTTGTAACTTCCTGTTTGCTACAACACACAGAGACATCCAGCTGGAGGACGAAGCTGATGAAACCAAATATAAATGGTTTGGAAATAGAAACCAGAACACACCCTACTGTGTCCCACTTTATGTGGGATTGCACAGCATTTTTATCTCTTGTCCCACGTCTCACACGTTAAGACAAGATCATTGTATCTGCTATGCAGATTTAGGCTGAATAAGATGGAAAGTACCTAAGTTCCTTTTTCGCTTTCTGTATTTACTTATAGTGGCCGTTGGGAAAGTTGCATTCAAATAAAATATATTTAAGTCCTTCACATACAGGTGTTAGAAACTAAGGGGCGGAATAGAAATGTTTATTCGTTAGCAAGACTAACTCTCAGCATTGGTAATGTGTCCCACACATACTTTTTCCCACATTTGGTTTGTTGGGATCTGGTCACCTTAGAACGGTGGTTCCCAACCTGAGGGACAGGACCCCCACTAGGGGTCATCACAGCTTCACAGGGGGTCCTGATTCTAAGGGGTGTAAGAAAAATATACACAGTAGGCCGATATCTCAGCATTTGGTTCACTTCTGTGAAGGAAAGTAAATGTCTACTGCAAAATAAATATAAAATAAAGCGTCAGGGAAAGAAAACACTGAATTCTGTTGATTGTTGGAAATTATTAAAAAAAATACATAATACACACAGAGAATTGTATTAAAAGTTACATAAATGGGAAATAATCTGCTCAGAATTCATCCAAATCACTTGTTTTACACAAACTTCTTGCAGTTACTGAGTTCACTGTTTGGGTTAATTGTACAGTTTTTAATATGAAATCAGTTTACTAAATGATATAAAAGGGGTCCTATAAGGAGGAAAGGTTGGGAACACCTGCCCTAGAACACAGTGTGGAAAGCTTTATCAATCACTGTATCTGTGTAGCTAAGGTAAAGCTAAATAAACAATAAAAAACAGTTAAAAAAGGTTTTGTACAAAAAATAGACTTGTTTATGAAGTCTAACTGATTTTGTGTCCGGTGTTAATGTGTTTTTAATGTTCAACCTCCAGCGGTGCAGATCTGCCAGGGATCATTTGGCAGCGTGCCGCAGAGTAATCACAGGTTTGTTGTTGAAAACCTTGTTTTGACTGACAGACAGTATAAAAAGGGGGCTGGTGGGAAGGATTGAGATACAGACTGACTGACAGACTGACTGACAGACTGACAGACTGACAGTGGAGCTGAGTGACTGAACCCACCTGGTTCCCTCGGGGCAGTTTGATCCTCAGTGACAGAGCCTGGCACCAACACCAGTCAGCTGCCAGATGTGGTAACAGGTGAGTCCACAGACTTATAATCTAGCTTTTGATGTATCTGCTGATGTTACTTTATAGTTAATTTTATTTTATTTTAGAGTATCAATGTAAAATAAGTTTTTTTCCCACCATAAATTGACAAAACTTGCAAGAAGGACACATTTGACTCAATTTAGTATCTTTATTTTTTAAGGTTCATGGTTTGATTTGTAAATATTAAATAGTGTTTAAATATTTTCCTTATTATTCAATCACATTTAGAGGTTCCTTGATTGTCTAGAACTGTATTTTCTCATTGTGTTTTCTTTATTTTTATCTTTAATGCAGAACCCCATTACTAAAATACATAATTTATGCTGCATGATCTGATTGTGTTGGGTTTATAAAACGATAAACCATTTCGCTTCCCCTTTAAAGCCACTTCATGTTTCTTTAAGCATTGCTGTGAATACAAAATAAAAGTGGTATCTTTTTTAGTGGGAACCTGCAGTGAACAAACCTGAGTTCTCTGCCCTCTGCTGGGCACCACACACAGATAAAGCCTCCCTCCTCTGTGGTCAGACGCTGTCACTCAGTGGTTTCCAACATTTTTCTATGATTGAGTGGACTGACAACCTCTGACTAGGTGACATATTTTATGTATATTTCATATTATGTTCAATGCATAACAATGACAGTACAGAACAACGAATAAACTGTATAGTTGTGCAGGAAGTTCGTGTGAAATGAGTGATTCGGATGAATTTTTAGATTTTTCCTTATATCTTTATGAACGTTTCTGTCTATATTATGTCTTTTTTTTATTTTTTAACAACCATAAAGACTTAATAGGCTTATTTTTTGACAAATTCAGTGTTTTTTCCCCCCCTGACATTGTTCTGTTAGCAATTTGGTTGTTTTTACTGCGTACTTTGAAGACCCTGTGAGTACAACTTGTGTTCAGGTCTTAAAAATCTTAATCCAAAGTTTTCTTCACAGAAATGAACAAAATGCTCAGCCTTTTATGTATATAAGTTTTCTTACACCCCTTAAATGTCCAGTGTGTAACATTTAGGAGGATCTATTGACAGAAATGGAATATAATATTCACCGGTGTGTTTTCATTAGTGTATAATCACCTGAATATAGGAATCATTGTGTTTTTGTTACCTAAGAATGGGAATATCTACAGATGCAGCAGGTCGCCTTCCGTGGACCGCCAAATTGCTACAATAGGTCTGAAGTTACAAACTAAACGCTGGCTCTTGGCAGGGTCTTTATAGTCACTTTAGTTTCACCTACACACTTCACATTTCATGTTCCCATTCCCAGGTCTTTAAATACAGACACGACTGGTGTTCAGTTAGTTGCAACCTGCAACTTCACTGCTACATGCCACAAAATCCGACACACACTGGTCCTTTAATGGGGTTGTTTTTTCACAAATTCTGTCTTTTTTTCCCCTTGACATCCATTGTTCTGTTAGCTCTGTGGTTGTTTTTACTGCGTACTTTTCTAATGCAGGAGGAGACTGTTTAGCAGAGAGTTAAGTTTGTGTTCAGGTCTTCAAAAGTTTGGATAAAATGTATAAAATTTTAAAAGCTTTCTTACACCCCTTAAAATCAAAAAGGCCTCTCGTCCTCCTTGTGAAGCTTTGGCGACCCCTAGTGAGGGCCCCGACCCCCAGATTGAGAATCACTGCTGTAACTGACGCAAAAAAACACCTGCCCTCTTCGCTTTGTCACTGTCATGTCCTTTCACACAAAAAAGTTATTGCGACACATTTCAACCTGCATGAAGCTGGAGCTTCTGGGCCGTTGCTGGGAGACGATGTTTGGACAGAGCGGGGGAACAGAGATTGTGTCCAGAGGCTTATTAAATTTCCCCTATTGAAGGCGAGATAGCAGATATTCAGTAGAACATACATATTAAGTGCAGCCCTGTGATCTGAACAAACAGTCTGCTTCCAGGAGGCGAAGCATGCTGCCAGAGCGCTGCAGCATCACACAGGACGGCCGCACAGTGATGGAGAGCCTGGTTGTTAAAGCTTGACAGAGGTGAGTAGTCACATATTTTACTTTACTGTATTGTTTCTTATTTTTAAATGATGTGGTTCCTGTTTTTTTAAAACTAACTAAATATAACTGCGCTGTATTGCATCTATATAATGTATTTTTATATTATAAATGTTGTGACTTCTTGGTTAAATAAAATATATGAATATATATAACCTATATATATATATATAAATATTAAACTGAAGGAAGTGGATGCTGAAATTCAAAGCTTTAAACAAAAGTCCATCAGAAAAAGAATTGAACAATTAATTGATCATTCTAACAAGAACTGTCTCTGTATCCGAATCCTCATACAGCCTCAATTATTATCCAAAAACTCTTTATCATCCTTCATTACGGTGAATGTCTGTAGTTTATTTTAGTTAGTCCTACAAATACTGTCCTAAAACTCAATACAGAACCAAATCCACGGCTGAAAATATATTAACAATTTACTCCTTTTTGAGTAACATATGCTTTAAACAGGAGTTTTAGGATATTTGTTCACCGTGTGTAAAGGAAATGTAGTATTTGTGATTGGATGTAAATGAAATACCAATTTAAAAAAGTATTAAAAGACGGACAAACATATCGCTGGTTTTGATCTTTTTATGGGATTCGTTGTCAAAAAGAAAAATGTAGAAATTACTCTATAACCCTTTAACCAAAGGAAGGCTTTTTCACTCGATCAGTTGGCACCTGTTTTATTTAAATCCCCTCATTTCATTTAAAAGAGTATGTAAAGTTTTTGTGAGATATCTGAAGCAGAAGTTCTGCATCTTTACTTGCAATAGTTCCAATGAATGAAACAGGAGTTATTTCTTTAATTGTCAGAAACAACTTTTGTCTTTACTGTTTTAATTTCCAAAAAAAACAAAGGAGAAAAAAGAACTCTTTACAGAGTTAGGATCAGGTTTCCTTCGATGCTGAATCATCTCTTTTGAAAACCTTCACATGAATGTAATTGTATGTCTTAATGCAGCACAAGTATGGTTTCCTTCAGGAGGCGGTAAGGATGCTAACATGTTCGGCAGGTGTTTACCACCGTCTGAATTATTATTATTAGTTGCTTATTAGCACTAAAACCAAAGTACAGCAGAGGCTGATATTTGGTCATAAACCAAAGTAATAAGATTTGATAACATTCATCCTGAGTGGAAAATTCATATTTGTCAAATTTAATGGCAATAAAATCAAAAAATCTCAACCTTATGGTGGCAACACAGGGAAGTGTAACGACTACTATCAGTGAAAAGTGTTGAAACCACACACCCCTCTGCCAACAAAAAAAAAGCAACCTAAATAAAAATAAACAACGTTGCTCCTACGAGAAAAGGACCGTGAATAGCTGAGATATTTCAATCTGAACTAAAGTTAAACTAAACTTTAGAAATCCTCTTCTTCATCATTAGTCCTCACAATCAGAAGAGTCCATTCAGTACGATGATGTTTTCTTTGTGCAGTGTCTGAGAGAGTCTGTCTCTGGTGCGAGCAGCCGCGATGCTGGGCAGTCACCTGTTGCTTTCCATCTACATCCTCACCTTTCTGATGGGGGTCCCTGCCAACATCCTGGCATTCTGCACCTTCTACCGCAAGGTGCGTCGCAAGGCCGCCCCGATAGACATCCTCCTCCTCAACCTCACCATCTCCGACCTCATCTTCCTCGCCTTCCTGCCATTTAAAATGAAGGAGGCCGCCGACGGCATGGACTGGCTGCTGCCCTACCCTCTGTGTCCCTTCACTGGCTTTGTGTTCTACGTCACCATCTACAACAGCACCTTGCTCCTCACTGCTGTGAGCGTGGAGCGCTACCTGGGGGTCGCCTACCCCCTCAGGTATTCCCTGTGGCGCAGGCCTCGCTACGCCATATTGGCGAGCATCATGTTCTGGTTGGTGACCTCTCTGAACCTCAGCGTCGTCTACATCATTCCCTATGTCCAGTGGAGCAAAGGTGCCAACAGTGACAGCAGCAATGACAGTGCCACTAACAACCCTGTCACGCCTCCACCTACCTGCTACCTGGACTTCAGCGCGGAAGAGCTCAACATCCTGCTGCCGATCCGTCTGGAGCTCTTCGTCGTTCTCTTCTGCATCCCCTTCTTCATCTGCTGCTTCTGCTACGTCAACTTCATCCGTATCCTGTCCCGTCTTCCAAACATCGGCAGACGTCGGAGGCTGCGTGCCATCGGTCTGGCGCTCGGCACACTGATAGTGTTTGCCGTCTGTTTTGGGCCTTACAATGCCTCCCATGTGGTGGGGTTTGTTCGCTTTGAGAGCGAGGAGTGGAGGAACGTGGCGTTGCTTTCCAGCACCTTCAACGCCTGCCTGGATCCGTTCATCTTCTACTTCTCCTCAGCGGCTGTCAGAAGCATGTTAGACCACTGCTGCAAGAACATCATGGCGAAGCTGCACATCCTGAAGTGTGGAGGAGCAGCTGCTCACTGTCCTCACCAGAAACCCTCCAAGACTGACAAATACAAGGAAGCACCCCTTCCTTGAAAGTTCTGGAGAAATTATTCATGTAAAAATTTATTTTTGAGAGTTTATTTCATGCAAAATGGACAAAATGAAGGGTTGGGAATTATTATTTCACTCTAACCAATGAGAGGGGCTTCTGGGGCTTCATTTAGGTGAACCGATCACTGTGGCTGACAGTGGAGTTAGTGTACTTCCTCATGTCATGTCAGTACCTTTTATAGAGCTTAAATGGGACACAATAAACACGTGCAAGTTTTTTTTCAGTTCATTATCTGTTGACTCAAAGCTGAAAATGTAGTTTAATCAGCATTGTTGTCATTTTACATTAACATGACATGACAGATGGCACAACAGAACTGTGGAAATAAGGCTTTAAACGCTGCCACCAGTTAGACTGATAACCGTTAATCATGTGTAAGTAAACGTTGTGACACTGTCGCCGATCCTTCAGTAGAGAACGTTTTTCACTTGGCAGTAAGCTTTAAAGTCTGATAAAGCAGCGTCATTGCTAAAGTATAGCTAGTATGGCTCCTAATAATCCATAAGATCTGCAGTAATTATTGTCAGTAATAAATGGTTTGTTGAGGATCTCTACAGTAGATTATTCAGAAGTCCACTAGAGAATCCTTCCGAGTTCAATAAAGAGCAAAAAAGACAAAACAAACCATCACTTTAAGTGTACTCATTGCAACATACTTGCCTTAGTGACTCAGTGTTTAACATATGGTTCAGTTTGTTTTAGTGGCGTGGAGGGTGGAGGTGGGAAACTCCAACATCCGGCGCTGCATTCACAGAAATTTCATTTTTGTGATCTATAAACAAACATCACTAGTATTTGGAGCCGACCAGGGGGCCAAAACTGACAGACAAAACGTGATTTCTCAGCAACAAAGACGAAATAATTGCAACTATAACATAAACCTGTGGGATCGTAACATTACGCAGCAGATTCCTGTGTTTCTGTGTCGATGAACATTTGAGGATAACTTTTTAAATGGAGAAAATTACTTCCAGAAACAGTTTTAACCCGGGAGAGTGTCACGCCCATCCAAGCAGTAGATCAACTCAAAATACATTTCTGTTCTCAGAGGACTGGGGTTACGGTGGTTATAAATATCTCAAAGACTAGGGGCCTCATTTATAAAGATCTTTAAGTGTGACTTACGTAGAAAACCACGTATAAGTAGTTATTTATAAAATGTTACATTGACGTGGAAATGATCTGCACTGGGTTGCTTCAGCTGTGTGTGAGTTTGGGTGTAAAGTCGACACTAGAGGCTTAGAAACTACTGTTTTAAATGTTTCTGACTGGCACTGGCTTTGTAGCACATCACAGTAAGCTCGATCGATATTGAAAAACCACATCAATAAATTAGGTTTCTACTCGATTAATGTGCCTCAAAATTGCTGCAATTAATGTAAAAAAACAGCTGTTTTAGTGTAATATGTAACTATTTAGTTGTTATCTATAGTCAGCTTCTCTCTGTGGTTCAACCGCTTTTATTTTAGTAACGCTTGAATCACAACTTAGTGATTATTCAAGTTAAAACTAGAGTTTGAACTTGCACACATCCGGCGCAACAGGCTTGCTGTTCTCAGCCAACTGCAGTTACCCTGGCAACTAAATGAAAACTAGATATCTCACAAAATACAAAAGGGTTTCTTTAATGCTCCTCTAATGACCTGAAATGATGCTGCTCTCCCATGTGACCTTTAAGCTCTTCCCATAAGGGCACATACATGCAGGTTAAATATCCTTTTCTGTGAGTCACGGTGCAACAAGGACGCTGTTTAATCAAAGATGAGTGTTTTACAGGAGCGAGGGATAAAGCAATTAAAAAACCGGAGGGATGTTAGACTACATAAGCAGGAAGTGGAGACTGTAACCTGCCAAGCTAATATGGAGCTGTAAGCACAGACAGCCGGAAGTGTAAACACAGAGGTTACACAGTGCCGCAGTTATAAAGTGTGTCTCTGTCTGTTCTGAGGGGACTTCAAACAGGAAGTGACTGATAACCGCCCTCTGGCCATTTCCTGTCAATAATAATGAACCCAGCGCTCCTTTGCAGGTGGAGTGCATGTACACAGATAACATCCCTTTATAGTGTCCTGTTGTATACCGCGCTCAGCACAGCCAGTCTCATTTTTATTAGTTTATTGTGCACGCCGACAATTTATAAAAAGTTCAATGAATCTAATTTACTTCTGTTATCCAGCTGGTGAACGTTGATTATTGGATGCGTCTTGGTTTTAAATGGAAAAAGAGAAAATTGTAACTGTTGCTGTGAGTTTTTCTTGTCTCAAAATCCCCCAAACATCCCCATTTAATGAACTCGTGTGTTTATTATTAGGCTTGTTGGTGAATTATGAGACATATTTCTGTGTAACTCTATCTGTGGGTCCCATAGTTTCCTTTAAAGTACAAGTGTTGATGTTACTATAATGTCTGACGAAGGTTCCTGAAAAGGGCCATTTTATTTTGAACTAACAGTCTGTACACTTTAATTATTTAAAATGAATCACAACCTGCCTATCTGTCAAGTAGGCCTGCTGTGCATGGAGGAGTTACAATATTTAATAATAAATAATAGTTAATAACTAAACTAGTTTGTTCTTCCTCTGTTCTACCAAACTACAGTACTGTTCTCTGGTCTGATGTTAAACAGCCCTGCTATCGGCTCTGTACTTCAGCACAGGCATATACTGAGATTATCAATTATTGGAAATCTTATCTTAAATGCGAGCAGGTATAATGTTCGCTATCTTAGTTCAGCACTGAACACAAAGTACAGCTGATGTCATTTACTCACTTTCATTTCATCAACATACTTCCACTCTACGACATTTTGGAGGCAAATATTTTAAACAAATAACAACAAATAATTTTTTTTTTTACTCCAAATAACTTAAGTTACTTTGCAGATTCACATTATATATATATATATATATATATATATATATATATATATATATATATATATATATATATATATATATCACAAAATATAAAATCAACTAATAAATCCTTTTACTTTTGGTACTTTAAGTACATTTTGATGCTGATATCTTTGTGCTTTTACTTTGACACTGTGGTATATTGCTACTTATACTGAAGTAAAAGATATATATTATACTTTATATACATTATATATGTACTTTAAGCATATGTTTAATTAAATGCTGCATTGCTATGGTTACATGTAACCAATCAGTGGTGGGGCCATTAAGTGAGCCTACAGTAAATACTGATAATCTGAAGAAATGTTTAATATGGGATCCAATCTATCCCTAACAAGCACACATAAAAGATGTTTAACTTACCATAATTAAGCAGATTGATATTGACGTTTATACTGACATGTAAACACCTGGAGGCAGTGATACCTGATGTGAACGTCATCACATGGAATTCATTTTATGATTGTGCAAAGTGCAAGCAGCAAGCATGAGCTTTCTCCTTCAGACCTGCCACCCCCTCTCTGGAAAGGTCGTGAACTATTTACACGAGTGTGTTCACCGTCCTTTCCACTTCCTTTTTTATGAGTATAGATCTTAAAGAAAGTTAAAAAAAAAACACATTTCATACATAGAGTATTTATTCAAAAAAATTAAATATGACAACCAAATAAAAAGGCTCAACTTAGGACCAGGATCAGATGAGTGTTAAGACAAAAAAAAAAAAAAGGTCTTGACATACAGTTTTTACTTCTAAAAGTGTCACCATTTAATAATCAGGCAAAAAAAAAACCAACAAAAAAAAAAAAAAAAAAGCACATTAATATACTGTGAAACCCAAACATTATTTTTCTTTTTGAGTATGATATGCAGCCAACCACAGAGGTTTAAAGATTTATTATTGTGGGGAATCCCTTAACATGGGAAACGGGCACTCGTGGAGTAAAAACTCAACCGAAGAACTATCCCAAGTCTGTAAACGTCTAAATTTCACATTGGAAGATAAAAATCGTAAAAAGTGTGTGTGTGTGTGTGTGTGGTGTGGGGGGGGGAGAAGGTGTTAGATAGTGACATGCATACAGTGAGGGAAGGCCAGACGAACTGATTGCACAGAAACTTTGCTTCATTATTGCCGTCCATTCAAGAATGAACAAGTAAATAAAAAAAAAAAAGAAGAGGAAAATGTGTTTACAGGCAGTACGGGAGGCATCCCGACAGAAATAAAGTTAAATAAATATTGCTACATAATGTCTACACTGAGCTACTCGTTACCTACAGAGTCATGAGTGTTCCCCTATTATTATTATTATCATTATTATTATTCTTAATTCTTCAGAAATGTTAGTTTTTGGGTTGTGCTTGTGAGTGCCCGTCTACTAAACCGATCCCCACAGGCCTTTTGGTCCGGTCAGCTCCACAACTGATCAGTTCTGCATATTTTGTGTTCTTGGCATATGTCAGAGGTACACACACACTCTCACACACACACACACACACACAAACACTCTCACACACACACACACACAAACACAATCACACCTTACAGTATTGTCATGTATCAATATATACTTATCAATGTAGACTCGGGCCTCGGCGCCCTTTCTGAAAGTTAAGATTTCTTTGATTTTTAGTTTTTTTTTGTTGTTGTTGTTTTTTTTTTTTTCTTCAGCACCATCAGGAAAGGCACAGTCTGTTAACGGACAACACCGGGTCCGAAGATGAACTTTCAACCCTCCTCTGCTCATGAATACGCAAAAAGAATAAAAAATAAAAATAAAAAAAAAGAATAATCTTTGATGCAGCACATGAATTAAGAAACGTCTCCATCAAAATTCAGTCTCTCACGTCTTCGATGAGCTTCTTTTTTTAAATTTGAGATGATAAAAACAACAGTAGAGGGAGGTCTTCACAGGTCTTTTGCAGAGGAGGGTTGATGGTTCATCAGATCACTTACATGACAAAAACAACCCCCGACAGTCTCCCACAAAAGCAGGTCGATGCAGCAAACGCAAACCGTGTTTTTTTTTTTTTTGCTTTTCACACGAGTAAAACCTATTGCATTATTATCAAATTTGGAAAAAGAATTAGCACAGACCACTACGGTTATTAAACGCCATATTTTCACTACAGCTAATCACGCTTTCTGCTTCAAATAGGACTTTTTTTTTGTTAGAAAAAATAAGTGGTGTGTGCATTACATCAATATCTTTACATATAAATATATCTCACTTCAGACTTTAAAAATGCTTTTTACTGTTGAGGAAAAAAAAGGCATCTGATGTCCAGCGCTGTAAGACACAAAGCCCCGCCCACGGGCTCCAGAGGTTTTTATTTACTGTACGTGGCGTTATGAGTGGAAAGAGAGATTACTGTAATAAGGCTCGATATATAAACTTTCCAAAAAAAAAACAAAAACAAGCAGAGCACTAGCCAACAATGTCAAACATGCCCACGACTAATTTTCTTCAAGTAAAATCAAATGCTGGTAATGTCTGACATTAAGAAACAGCTTCAACGTGACAACAAACACCGAAGGGGGGGGGGGGAAACCATCTGTTCTGATATTCTTAGAATTAAAATGCTTCAACTGAAGGCAAAACGAGAAGCAAACATCTCAGCATCGTGACTGTTCGACCTTAAAACACATGCGTTTTCTTTTAAGTGCAGTAAAATACCATATCCTCTTAGTCTCTCTGTATCAATATATAGCCTATAATGTATCTGATGAAATCTTAAATAAATGTGTTTTCTTATAGCAGCTTAGGTTTGGTTCTGGTGACATGTGGCTAGCACAGTTAGCAGTACAGAGCCCGTCAGCTCCTCCTCCTCCTCCTCCTCCTCCTCCTCCAAGTCCTCCACCCTCACCCCACCGACCAGGCACGTTGGTTTGGTCCAAGTGATGAAACCTGAAGGCTTCGTCTGTATTAAACTATACTGCGAGGCCATGGGAGGCGGCTCCCTCGAGGGCTGGGCATCGCAAGATAAATACCTGGGTAACGACGACTGAAGGTCCTTTTTAATGGGATTGTATCGATGATTATTTGGTTATAATTTGAGATCGATAAGCTGCCAGTGTGTCGAGATGTAGCAGAAAATCTGTTCCCTATTACATAATGATGTCATGATGAATGATGGTAATTCTGGTGTTTGTAGGAGAAGCACTGTTTCTGAACAAGAGCTGCAACGATAAGTCGATCCACAGAAAAATAAACTGTCAAATATTTGCTGATTTCAGGAACTCAAATGTGAGAATTTGATGCTTTTTCTTTGTCATATATGAAAATAAACTGTCTTTGGGTTGGTAGGACACAACTAGAAATCCGACACAGCTCCTCGGGTTGTTGGAGAATAAAAACGCTTATTTGAAGACCAATATGACCGCTAGTTGCAGCCCTACTCAGAATTTGTGCTGAATTTCAAGTAGTGAAACCATTTTTGGGGGAGATACCCAGCCCAGACCTCCTCTGAAAACAAAAGCAACAAAGCTAGGTGATAAAGACTGACATCTGAATATGAATGAGTGCAAACAGCGAGTCCTATCAGTGCACCAAGTGAGGACACACATCCGAGTAGACAGTATCTGCCTTCGTGTGGCTGGATGTAAACGCCTGCTCAGAAATTCACATTTATGACTGCAGGGCCAGAGAAAGTGAAGAAAACTACACTCAGTGTCCACTTTTAGGTACATCTGTACAATCTAACGCAGTCCAGTAATACAACAGCCCTGCTGTAACATCTGTCTGTACGGAATTTATAATATCAGAAGTGTATAAACTCAATTCGGTTTTATTACTGAGGTCACAGTTAAAGGAAGTGTTGTACTGGACTACATTATATTAAGGTGCGTCTAACCTTTTGCCGTCCCCAGTTACAGTCCAGTACGACACCACGACTGACCTTAATGATGAAACATATAGTTTAAATCCACAAATAAACTGCATTATAGGAATTCTAACAGCGGGCTTTATGGACAACTCAAGCTGTATTAGATTGAATTAACTGTACAGGTGTAACTAACAAAGTAGCCACTGAATGTACGTTTAGATTATTAAAAAAAAGCTTTTACTAAAGTGATGACACGACTCTGTTTTCTTAAGATCAAACAATTATTGTGTGATAATGTGAGAGAGATCATAAACCAGTTATTCTGTCACAGTTACGTGTTTTTGTGTGATGATAACACTTTTTTTTTTATGATCTCCAGAAAAGCTCGTCCAACTCTGATCGCAGAATATTTTACGATCGCAAGGAAACAAAGCGTGTCAAGTCGATATGGAAGTAATTATTTCCCGATGATGAGGAACCAAAACATTAGGAATAATCACACCAACTTGGCATGGCGTTGAGATCAACTCGAGTCCAGCCCCGTGTGTCGGGCAGTGCAGTGTTTCTACAGTTCGCCAGGGAGACCGTTTTCACTAAATGCATCAACAGAGGCACCCGGAAACCAACATACGATTAAAAACCTTCCATCCAACCAACCGTTCACCCTCTAACCAAATCAGGCACTTTGTTTAATCTCTCCGAAACCTCCATCACACTTCACGACTGACGCTCACATCTGCGCCATCAGTCCCGCTAGTTCATAAGAATGTCAAAATACTGTACATTCCCAAATCCAAGTTCATGGTCACTTGCCAAAACTCACTCATAAACAATGTTTGCGCCAATACTCGTCTAAAAAAAACATTCACCACTGAACCCGCTCACTCTGTGTTAACACCTTATTGCACTGAAGGAGTTCTTGACAACTACATTGGTCAGTTCCTCATGTAAAAAGTGGGAAAAGTAAAAAAAAAAAAGAGAAAGAAACGGTTTTATGGTCGTCAGAAGATATAAAGGGTCTAACTCTGCTCTATTGCTGAAAATGAATGTTAATTTAAGTTAAAAAGAGAACAAACAAACAACTCATAAATAGCAAGAGGAATAAAACACACAAGAAAACGTTTGGTATTACACTTTGTACCAAGCTGAACTATAAGTAAGAGAAGTTTAAAATAGTCCATTTTTTGTGGCCATGGCATTGTATTCTACCAGTCCTCTTTACGCACCTCGCCTCGCAGTAAGGCATCAAGCGATACACAATACCTCATCGATGGCTGTACGTGGCTTTGTTTACAAAAAAAAAAAATAATAATAATAATTAAGATTTCATTCAGTGTCTGTGTTGGTAGAGTGCAGAGTTACGCTTCTTACTGTCTGGCTGAACGACTGTGAGGAACCACTGGCTTAAAGGGAGACAGAAGCTAAGGCAGCCTGCCGTTTACAAGCGTACTCAGCTAATGTGTTGCCATGGCAATCACACATTTGCTCGACAGAGAAATAACACATACAGTATTGTATCTAGACAAGCTGAAAACCCACAAACATGTAAAAAAAAAAAAAAACGTCTATATTATAAACCAGCAACATTAGGCTCAACATGAGGCTACGGAGAAAGTCAGGTCCTCACTGGTTCTGCTTCATGCCCAACCATGCACCAAATAAATCATCAGTCTTTGTTTTCCCTGCTGCTCCGCCATTCTTTAAAAACACACGAGAAAGAAAGAAAAAAAAAACAGCAAAATAAAACTTTGAGCTGCTGTCAGAAACGTGAAGGCGAGGACGTGACTTGCGAGCTTTTAAAACGCGGCAGAGTCCACTGTGATTTAAATACAGCAGAGGAGATGTAGGTGAGAAAGAGATGCACGAGCGGGAGCACAGAAACGATTGGCTGGTTTCAAATTGCATAATGTGGCTGTAACTCCTCTCTGGCTTATTATTACATCCTTACGCAGCCTCGCAGTCGCAGCCGCCGTCATAGCGAGTTCCCACTGACCGATGCTTCACCAACCCCGGGGTGTTGGTGGTGGTGGGCGATGAGGCGAGGTGGCTGGTGGAAATCGGACGCGCAGACTGGCTGAGTGGCTGGGAAAGATGGAGGCAAGTGGAGGGTTGGGGGTGTTCAGGCGAAATACATGGTCCTCAGTGTGTCGTGGTGGATCTGAACTGCCTTGGCCAGCGCCTGGGGGTCCCTGCCGTTACTCTGCCCTGAGACGTGGCTGCCCTCCGCACTGTCGGGAGGAAATGAGGGAAAGAATGGTTAGCACTGATTGAAGAGATCGAACTGACTGCACTGATGCTACGTGTTTGTAATGTTTGATCGTTTCTCCACACCTGTCGTGCTCTTTGTCAACCAGGTGGTAGCGAGCGCGGAAGGCCACCAGGTGGGCGTAGTAAGCCGGTGCGGGGATGGAGACGGAGCGCGTGCAGCGGACATAGGTGTGGCACAGCTGGTAGGTGAGGAGCTGGAACTCATCGCCGGTGAAACAGTTGTCGTCCCACAGAACGTGGTAGTGGGAAGGCCGGCTCGTACCCTGGAGGGAGGAAACAGGAGTTAATCACACCCCAGAGAAAGCAGCTCAATGGAGAGGAGACAAACAGTCCGTGGATACAATTAGGTGAAGCCAACAGCTGCAGGGGATGCAGTGTGTTTGGGGACTATGAAATATTCCTTGCTACTCTTTAACCACAACAGTTTAAGAACTTTAAAGAACATGTAACTATGGCTTCAAATCAACAATCTGGCAACCACACACGTGTACAAGAATAATTCTATACAGTGAAAACAGAAGAAGGAATACCCACGTTAACGTTAATAACAAAATGAGTACATTAATTACTATAGCTGTCCATCTTGTTGCTGTTTTTTTCAGTGAGTTTAATGTTTTTTTTAGTGACTTTGCCTGAAGCTCACCTGGATTCCAGCGTGACTGCAGAGGTAAAAGTCAAACTCATATGGGTGGGTGATGTCTGTGTCCACTGTGGTGCCGGCAGGAATGTTCCCACTTCGTCCAACCTGAGAGGGAAACACAATTTAACAAACTCATTTAAGAGAAGGTCACGCTGCCTAAAAAAGAAAATCCTATGATCTGAAATCAAACCCCTTTTGGTAGATAACCTTCTACCACAATTTACCAAATCAAAACAGATGGAGAGAGTAGGCAGCCATAATAATAACAACACTCTCGAAGTACAATTCATGTTTTCTAACAAAAGAACTGCTTTGTGTTACTCACCCGCTCGTTGCGATCTGCACAGAAGAGGCGTGTGTGATGGCGTTTCTGTACGACGATGTAAGTAATCCCCGGCTGGTAATCCTTCTCTAGACTGATGCAGGCCTCCCTGATAGCCAGCAGCTCATAATACAGCACCTACACACAGAAAAATACGGGCAGACTTCCTGAGTAAACATATAGTAAATTACTGTAAGGCTTTTGGTTTTTTAAAGACTAATTTGTGCCTGTAATTTATGACTTTAGCAAAAAAAAAAAAAGGAAGAAACAAGTTGTTGTACCTGTCTGAACTGTCCCTCTGACACTCCGTCTCTGTAGAAGATGATCCTGGTTGGCTTGTAGCGAGTCGATTTGTAGAACTGGATCAAGAGCTCTCGCACCATGGAGGCCAAGTCCTGGATGACCTCCTGTCTGGGCCTCTGGACCCGCACTGTAGCACAGTACCTGCTGGGGTGGGCATCCATGCTGCCCACCACCTTTAGGGACAACAACAGTCAGATCAGCGATTATATGCAAAAGCAGCATTGAACTGAAGAGAATTTATGGAACAATGTTTCTGCAAATTTCTATAGCAGCCTTTTAAAACCTCGTGTGTAGCTTTGTTCTGCATCAACAAGAGTAGATGCGGCTCTGAAGCACGGTCACATCACCAACCAGTAGCAACAAAAAGATTGGTGCAACATTAATTCAGAGAGAGGACTTGTAACAATACAGCCAGATTGATAGTAGCAGTGTCAGTGAAAAGAAAAGACAACATTGTCGGCCAATTGGCTTTTTTTTCTGCAGTGAAGTCTCACCGCTGCAATAGATGGCTTTTTCCCGTCTCCTGCTGGAGGATGAGTGACGTCAGCCCCGAGGAAGATGACAGGCTGCTGGAACACTGAAGGTCTGGATGGATAGGAGGAGGCAAAATAAAAATAAAAAATCAGTCATGATGTGTTGCAGTCTTTGTAACAGCCAACAGACAGACACAGATCACAGTGGGAAGAACAACAAACCGGTACACAGCTGCCCTTTGCATGTGAAGTCCAAAATTATAACAATTAGACAAGAAATTGATGTCAGAAAGCCTGATTATGTTACCTATCCACTTAAGAATGTGACTAAGTAAAAAGCATTGATGAGCCCGAGCAGCAAGAACCCAGAAGATCTTCTTTAGTGGTTTATTTGCTGTGTTGTGTTTACCGTTGGTGTGGAACCAGGATGTTGTTGATTCCTCCCAGTTTGACGTTGATCTTGAGGCAGAGGTTTGAGAGGGTCTGAGGGGACGTCTTCACTACGTTCTTCACCTGCACGCACTGAGTGGCCATGCCAAGGAGGGTGTCACCCACCCGCTTCACCTCAGCTGTGGGTCAGAGATGAAATATTCCTGTAACTCTTCATCCACTTTTTACTGTATGCACTTCAGGTTTGTCTTTAAAAACGTTAGCAGGTGTGATTGATTGATTTTTGTTACTGTTGTGGTGGGGTTCTCATTTCAAACGTAATTTTTGTACCATAGACGGGTGTTTTCCCAGGCAGGATCACGATGATGAGCTGCAGCCCACCGTAGGTGTTCTTCAGGTGTCTGAACATCGGCTCGACGCTGTCAGCTCCCTGGGCGTATTTACAGAAACATGGCTGGCCTTGGATTGGCATCCCAGCATCCTTTGAGATTTTACGCAGCTGGTCAGTGAAGCTCCTAAGCAGGAATAAAACAGAAATTACCATAAAATATAATTTTCATGAATGTTTTTAATGTCACAGCCAGCAGAGTACTGCTTTATTATGATTTATGGTCAGAATTCTTCTTCACTTATGCTGTAATTTATCTCTTCTACAATAGTAATTTTTGTTCGAAGTAATGTAGCAATTCTAAAAATCTTTATATTATTGTAAAATTAGCTGTTTAATTTTTTAGAGTTTAATTGCTCCAAATAAATCTGTTAGCTTGTATTTCTCAAAATTAATCTTAATTAATCTAAATTTTGGTTTCTTTAAATATGATATTTTCTTCATAGCTTTTTTAATCTTACATAAATTTTTTTCATATAATTTCTTCCCTAACTAAACTAAACTAAACAATGTTTGAGTCATTTTTTAAAGCTCACTTGAGGATCTCTTCTCTGCACTGCCTCTGGGTGGCGAAGCAGGCGATGGCCCACATCTTGATTTCCACTCCGGTGTGAAACTGCTTCCCCCTCATGTCCCACACCCCGTGGCTCGGCGTGGCCACAGTGCGGTTCTGCAACGACAGTGCAGGGTTGATCTGCTGGGGCTGGTGGTCACACAGACACGTACAGTACAAGGACACAAACAAAGTATGGATTCAAAGATTTAAAGGAAACAGGCAGCCAGTGGGGATCTCAGGATTAAGGGCTTGTGATTATTCAAGAGGCTGAGATTGATTGATTGATTGGCTGATCACAAAAAGTTGGTCATGCATTTAGCGTGTATTGCAAGAAAACAATTTTGTTTATGGCAGACATGCAAAACAGAGACTCATTTCAAATTAAAACTGCTTCTATGTATGATCTCTTAGAACAGCATGCATGTGTAAAAGAATATAAAACCACAGCAAATTCAAAAAGTAAAAGTTCAGACAAAAAGAGGAGAAAACATGTGAGACACAGACAGGATGCAATCAGGGAAAACTATAACAGTTATGTATGAGAGAAAAGAGATAAAAAGGGTTTCCCCCAATAAAATTGTTCAACTAATTTTATTATTTATTATTATTAGTCAAACTTTTATGACAGACTAAAGGAAACCCTGTGGTCTCAAACACACACACACACACACACACACACACACACACACACACACACACACACACACAACCACACACACACACACACACACACACACACACACACACACACACACACACACACACACACACACACACACACACACACACACACGTTGACAAACACACATGCATATGAAGCGTGATTTAAAGGGAAGGTACCATAAATTGTTCAGAGCTCACCCTGCCGCCATACTGCAGCATGGGGGCCGGCAGGACGCGGCCCGTCACCTGAGCCATCTCATCTCGCACGCGGAACTGAAACTCCTGGACGAACGGGTCGGCCTCGTAGTTTGCGCTCCTCACCTAAGAGAGATATTTATTTTTATATAACAGCAAAAACATAATAATATTAATGGTAAATAAAAGCGAAGACTAAAAAAAAACTAGACTAAAATGAAAACTAACTGAAACTGAAAGTAATAAAAATCTACAGGAAATGACTCTCTGTGAGTCAACTACCTTCACAAAGTATTCTGAACTTTCTAAAACTGGCCTTGGACTAATTCTCCAATATTATAATAAAAAAAAACAAGAAAAAAAAAAAAAACTAAAAAAAGAACTAAATCGAGAAAACCCACTCTGGAAAAATCTTGATGAAACTAAACTGAATTGAAAACAAAAATATAAAAACGAAAATGAAACTGGTCCACAGGATACTCACCAGCCTGCTGATCTCCTCCTGTCTGTCTGGTGCAGAGCGAGCGGTTGCTTTGATCATGGTCGACGTCTGGTTATCTGTTAGTTTTTTAATGCAGCGCTGTCCGGCTACAATGTTGCACACCTAAAAACAGCAGTTCGGGTTAATCAAGCATTTTACCTACAGGCTGATAATCAGATTTAATCACTTTTTTTGTTTCACTTCGTTCAGTGAGCCTGAATTTGTGTTCATGTTTGGTTTTATGATTTCTTGGTAAATGAGGGTGTTTTTTATTTTTTATTTGTTCAAGCCAATCAGGAGCAAGGGATGATCCTCAACTTGTATCTCAATGCTTGCCATTTTCCTGTCAGTGTTTCTCATCTATGTTGCTAGTTAGCTAATTACCTATTCAGGAAGCTGACGTCTCTATTCTTAAACCCACCTCCTTACTCTGATTACTCGACCGTCTCTTCAGCTGTCGGATGTATGATTAGCTGAACAAATCTGAGATGCCTGGTCTCTGAGATCTGGAACCAGGCTAACCATTACACATACTGAGGCTCAACATTATGAAGCAGCAGGTGGGATATAAAAATGTGTAAATTATGTTTTATGGTACTGATTGTATTTTGATATTCCTGATTTATGACTAAAACAAATACATCAGATTTGACTGACTGAAATAGAAAAACCTGTAAAACCTGCATACTGTCCTTACCTCCAGAGGCAGGTAGGTGTGTTTCTGTTCCTGGCCCACCTGCAGACAAGGCAGGTGGGGGTACTTCAGCTGCAGGTTGTACTTCTCTCTGAAGTACTGCGCCACCGTGCGTTCGACTGTCTGACCATTCTCGAGCTGCAACGGAAATCTGTGGATTTGAAAGAAAAGCAAGAATCTCCAGTTAGTGTAAGCTGACGACAGCTTTGATTGCGGTTTAACAGCCACTGGAGTGCGATATAGAAACATACGTCTGGAGGCTGGCAGGGCGTCGTGTCACATTGCAGACTCTGTACTTCCTACGCATGGTTCCACAGTGTGTCACTTCCACTTTCAGACCTGTGAAGATGGTGGAGGCATCGATGTAAATACGCAACAGTGATTGAAACTTTTCTTCAGAGAGTGGAACAACTGAGTAGGCTTTAAATTCCTCCACCAACAAGCTTTCATCTGCACCTCCCCCATACGCATCAAATAAAACAAAAACATGCGATACTGTTCAGTCTACTACAACATCAACCAGCTACAGTAGCTCCCCACACAACAAGAGAGCTGTGTAGGGTTAAGGCCTCATACTGCAGCACAGTGAAAACGAGCACTGCCTTTCCTCTGTGACATACCTTTGATCTCTTTGGTGAACTTGACCCTGTGGGAGTCAGCGAGAGGGCGTGGCTGCTCGTCGATGTTGTGAATGTCCAGGACCTCACACATGAACTGGATGACTGGCTGGGCTTTATAAAAAGCTGTGGCTGACACTGAAACGATACAGGACAAGGTCAAACTGTAAATCACTGACAAAAACACAGGTGCAGGTGGATTAAGGTTTTTTTAGAGCCATGAAGCACACAGATTACTCGATAAAGGTTCTACACATTTTATGCATTAAGACAAACATTAATGACCAGTGCCTGCTCATTAGAAGAAATACTGCAGAGAATGTAAGTCTTATGCAAACTAGTATAATAGTCCAGCATATAGCTGATGTAAAACCACAAAGTTTTGTTGAACAATATATAAACTGTAAGCAAGCTTTAGAGGTGCTGGTAGGCAGATTTTGTTTCCTGTGGACAGAGACAGCCTGGCCAGCCTGTTTCCTCCTGTTTCCAGTTGTTATGCTAAGCTAAAACTGACCAGCTGCTGGCTGTAGGCTTATATTTATTGCACAGAAACGAGAGTGGAATTTATCTTCTCATCAAACTCTTAACAAGAAAGCCTTTAAATGTTTCACCATGCATACTCACCATCAATGTTGAGCATCATTTTCCACATGGCTGGCCGCACTGACTGATGGAAGCCAAACCAAACCTCTCTTCCTCCGCCAAGTGGGTGGTCGTAGCCCTCTGGGGAGGAGAAGAAGGATCGTCCGACAGGCGTGTACCTGATGAAGGCAGAGGGGTTCACAAAAGGTGACAAAGGTTAGAAGAGCACAAATATAAAACTCTACCTGGTGCAGCTTAACGCACATGCTGCCTGACTTACAGCTCTCTCAACACAAGAGCCTAAAAGGTTTCACTGCTAAAAGCTTTATTGCGTAATCGATTCGCCAAATGGCATGTCTTAAGGTAGATACCATGAAAGATTCTTCTAATCCGTAAGTCCTTGTTATATTGAAATTGGGCCACCTAATACACTAAAAACGTATCCACCTGTGGTATTGTAGTGTACATACACGTTTCCACCAAACTGCAGCTGTTCCAATATGCGACAACACTGTGGTTGAAATACTGCATAATAAATTAACGGAGCTATACAGTGGCTGCAGGATGCAAGTATCCTCGGATCATATTTCATGACCAGAACCAATCAACAAGAAATACTCTTCTCATGCTTAATTCAGTGCTCTTTAGATCGTAACTCTTCCTCTTCCTGACGTTGACACTGAATATTACTAACATGGTCAGATAGACAAAATGCAGCATACACAGTAATCATCAATCTTTATTATTTTGAGGTAATAGTCATGATTTGAGCAAAATAATTTCACCGACTATTTCAAATGTTTAGCTACACTGAGCTTCCAATATGGTTTGAAGTTTTTTAGTATGACAGACAGTGTTGTGCATGAACGCACTAAACGAGCGCCGTTCTCTGAACATGCTTAAACGATGGCTGTATTATGTGAACATATCCATCAAGTCAATTAAAACAGAAAAAAGGAGCACACAAATAAATGATGCCAGGAAAAACACAGATTTCATTTTCATTTTCAGGCGGTGATAAACTTAAGCTGTTCATGTGGAAAACAAAGGCGGTCGAGGGAGGAAACTCACTTCATGGAGGGCAGGTGTCGAAGGACGACATCCACGGCGTGAACCGGGTTGGTGCTGATGGGTTTGTCGAGGTCAACCGGCTCGGCCACAGCGCGTCCCGTCAAGACTTCGTGCAGCATGTGCCAGCTGACCAACGACACAAACTTAATGGTGACTTTAAATGGGCGGTCCTTCCCACCATCACCTGGCAGAGTGACATCCAGATCAACCTGAAGAGGAACAACAAGGGTTATTGAGGCTTACTGATCAATGATGCGTCTCCAGTCTCTGTTAAATATAACTTTAACTGGCTATAACATAAGTGTGAGCCTATTTTCAGGGTGTCCCACTGGCAGAATTTTGACAAAAAGAAGACTGGAGCAGCCGTTCACACAACACTTGTGACCTTGACATTCTTTCTCAAGCTGAACTGTGATTTTTGTTGCTCCAGACGACACAAAACACCAGCATCCAAACTTCAGTGTAGAGTCTTACCCCACCGGTGGCGACAGGAAGCGGGGTAGCAGTGTAGAGGCTTCTCTTCCCATCGTAAACTGGCAGACAGTCGCCAAAGATGGTCACCTTGAAATGCTGGACCATGGAGTCCACCACCTCCCTGAAAAGACCACCAGAGATAAAACATTTCACCACAATCAACATGCATGAATCAAGGCTTACACAGCTCACACAAGACATTTTAAAGTAGTCCAGTCTGCTGAGGACAGCCTGTTTTATTAAAGACCAGCTCAACCTAAACCAGTTTCAGTCTCTTCTGTTACCTGTTGACCCGGCGAGGACATTTATCGGGCTTGATGTCCACCTCATACAGATAGACGTCGATCTTGGGTATATCCACCTGGAAGCAGTTGGCCAGAAGCTTGATGGGCTTCCCAATGGTGCCATAGCCAGGTCGCCGTGGCAACGAAAAGAGGGCTTGGGCTCCAACGGCTCCTAAAACACAAAAATGAATAAGCAAAAAGAACCCAACAACATTTGTTTACGTCACACTCTGGCATTCTTGATAAGTTATAAGATTGTTGTTGTGAATATGCTTGTATATTATGGTACCTATAGTGATACTTAAAGCTGATTTAATCAATATTTGTGTACCAACAATGAGTCTAATGACGTAATGTGAAACCAGTCAGTCGTACTGATGAATCACCGGACGCTTAAGGTTTGGTTCACTCTCTGTTTGGTTCTCGTTTTAAGCAGCAGGCAGCTGTTTCCAGTGATAAAGCTCCAATAAGCCACTGTACACTTTCTGACCAAACGGCAGAGAGCCAAAGTTAACAACCAGCTGATGAACATAGCGGAGTATTCAGCAGCTAAGAAATCCAGATATATTTCCCCCGAGGAGCTGGTGGAAACAAAAACAGAGCTTAGAGGAGAGTGAAAATTGGACTCAAACACGACTCCAAGTGAATGTTGCTCCATATCTGTTGGACGTAGGTAGGCAACCCGCTTGCTAACTCAACATCGAGTAAAAAGGTGATATTGAAAAAAATATGGTGAAAATGAAAATATGGTGTACTTACAGCGTCTATAAATGAATGTAGAGTAATTTGCCTCAATATTTTAGTCTTAATATCTTAACAGAAGATAGATAAGCTTTGTTTTTCTTTTTAGTTTCTTTTAAATCCCCAACATGTAACATAATAGCACATAATCCTACAAAATCCAATCCATACACAAACATATCCACTGTCTGCATTTACGTAAACTCAGTCTCCAAAACGAGCTAAAACAGAACAGTTAGAATCACCAGACTGTACGCTGTCAAACAAGCTAAGAGCTCTGAGATGCAGACGAACTGGAGGAAGGAAGTGGTTAATAAGAGCTGTCGGTAGGTGCTGGGACTCAAGATGGTCAGGAGACGTCAAAGATTGCCTCATATCAAACTGGCAAAACTGAAACAAACGGGCCTACGCTGTTCTTTACCTCATCAATCTGATAATGACCGTATAAAAAGGTTGCGGCAGTTTGGTGACATTTTAAATAAAGACCAGCTCAGCGTTCGCAGATTTCTCCTGACTGACGCGGCCTTTCGCCAGACGGGAGGAGAAGTAGGCGGGTATGACACACCACGCCAATTTGACACCAATTTTCATAAATGCCAAACTGGAAAGTACTCAAAAAGACTGACATCACAAAAACCACACAATTTCCACAAATGTGACTCAGAGGAACCACACACACACACACAATGACCTACATCGTATAAAGTCTGCACACACACACACACACACACACACACACACACACACACACACACACACACACACACACACAATGACCTACATCGTATAAAGTCTGCACACACACACGCAGCTCGAGCTGTTAAAATAGCGAGCGGTGCTAAAAATTAACTACTTAAAAAAAAAAGAAAGAAATAATGACGATTGTGGCCATGAAAGTGCGACGGAGCAGCTGGAGAGCATTAAACTGTTTCAGGGATCTCGTCTCTCTCTCTCTCTCTCTCTCTCTCTCTCTCTCTCTCTCAGAGTTCGAGGGTTGACCCCTGACTTCCCCCCGCGAGGAGTCATCTCTCGGTTGTTAAAAAAAAGGACTGCGATTTCTGCCGAGGCGTCCCCAGGTCGCTTCTTCCCCGGTGCGGTTTCCACGGCGACGGCGCCCATGTTGCTAAGGTTTCTCCATGGCAACTAGAGGCACACTGACAGGAGGAGGAAAAACAGGTGCACACAGATTCGTCTCATTCATCTTTGAGCTCCGGTGACAAAAACACAGACTGTATTTGACTTTATTTATGTGGTCATTATTTTTAGTTTATTACTATTTTGATGTCATTGCGATAGATGTGTTTTCTGTATTTGTCAGTTACTTTATTATTCACTACACAATACCAGATATAATCAATCTGTTTTTACTATTTACCCAATATTTTGCCGAATATGCCCGACTATATAAAAGGCTTTTAATACAACTCTTCTTTTCCTGAGTGCCTGGTGAACCTTTACTTTTCTATTTTTTAACTTTTGTGCACAAACAAAAGATGGGCAAATCAAAAAAAAAAGAGACAACAAACCGAGTCCAACCTCAGATTTCTTTGAGGAGTTATAGAAAACAAGACAAAAGATAGCGGTTACTGCACCAGTAATGACCCAAAAACACAAAGGTTCACTGTAGAATAGCAACAATGGAGAGATTAATGACCACTTATCAGGCTGCTTCATTGTACAAATGCACTGTACAGCTAGTAGCACTCCACACAGAGCTGTCATTCAACCCACGCACTTTAAGAGAGCCCTCCACTGATGTCACATTGTACAGTCCTAACATCACTACAGTCCCACTGAGGACTAGAACTGTGTAAAACCTGTACTACTAAAAATAAATGTTGTTTTAACCTCCTCTACTTTGCATACTCCTAGTGTTAAACACTCATCACGTGCAGAGAGACTCTTTTTAAACCTGCAGTGTTAAACCGAGCTCTACCGGAGATCAGAAATCCCCAAAACTTCTCACTAACAACAACTCTATGAAGCATTTATTTTTTTTACTTCTCAGTTCAATAAACAATTACAGATTGCTGCACCATCGTGTTCACAGAGTCTTGTATTATTCATCATTTCAGCCTGAACAAGAGGAAGATTGGCCTGTCGAAGAAACACACAAAGTTTTCCTGGTGCATCAGCTGTCCGCTGACAAGAAAAATCATTTTATCAAATCCCATGCTGTTAAGTAGTCCATTTTTTTACCCCCCCTCATCGTTGTTCCCCTCCCCCAATCCATTAACATTATGATGCCCTCAACGTGCCGGTTGGAAATTGCCACATTAGAAGCTGAGCACATGTGAATAAGTGAGGAAATAAGGAGGATGTGACAAGTAAAAGTTCAGAATGTATCAACTAAAAATTGCCAAAAATGTGAGGATTTGCTGCTTTATATCATTATTCACTGAATATCTTTGGGGTTTTGGACTGTTGGTCAGATAAAACAAGCTATCTGAAGACATCCACATGGGCTCAGGGACGTTGTGATGGGCAATTTTACTGGTTTGGGACATCTGACATACTAGGGATGCACAATTATATTTTGAGGCCACTAAAGCTGATAAAACAAAGCCAACATTGCTCGAGTCAACGAGCGCAGAACTTATTGTCGCACTCCAGACGTCAAACTGTTGCACCTGTGTGGAGACACTCAGTTTAGACGAGAGAGCCAAACATGTTATCGCCGCTGTGGAAGTTTTCCCAAGTTTCAGAGGAAGAAAACACGATTGCAGTTTGCAAAACATGTCCTCCGCAAGAGGGGAAAAGTCTTAATATTAAATCCTCCCTTTTAAACCCAAATATATATATATATATATATATATATATATATATATATATATATATATATATATATATATATATATATATATATATATATATATATATTAGCCTTTCTTACCCTCAGGTGTGTATAAACTCCTGCTTATAAAATTCTTTATGTGTGTTAAGCAGACTACTTTAAAAAAAAGGAAAATCAGTTATTATGTTTTTATTAAATATGCATGAGCCCATTGACTAAAGCCTGGCACTGTTTCAAAATGTACGTTACGCTCTGATAAAGCTTTGATCTGTACTGCTCACGGGGGTGAACATGGGTGGAGAATGAATGGGTCAGTATCAGTGAACCAGTTTGGCCCATTTTTCCCCCTCCCTGTCCACCACTGGCCCCCAACAACATCAATAATACACAAGCAGTGACTCACATTGGCCATCGGTAACAAAGTAAATTGACTAATATCCTGCCATGCTCAATTGATTTGTAATTAACACAGGCAGCGGTTAACTGAACATTATTCAATGGCTAGGGTAACTATGGCAGCAGCTGGTGTGAAAGGCTGTCCTTCAAACACACACACACACACACACACACACACCACACACACACACACACACACCTCTCTCTGAAAGTGAACCAGCCTCTCTCAGACTTCAGGCACACCTGACGGGATCACCACCTGCCTTTGACAGCCGACAAAGAATGACGTAGACAATACAAGTAACCCGTGAGACTGGTTTGAGGCATGCACACACACACACACACACACACACACACACACACAGGCGCAAAAGTGACCGGTAAAATACCACTGAGGAACAATCAACCCAGTTATAGTATGTAAGAAAATATCTAAAGAATGTCATTGTGATATTTTGTTTTGTGACGAGGCGTTGGACGATATAAATTCACTTTACGTTACATTATTGTTTCACAGGTAGGCTCCTCATCTCAAGCGGAGCCCAAAATAAATCAGGAAACCAATATAACACTGTATGCTGGCAGCTTTTTTCAAGTCAATCCATGTGAGGATAGTCAGGATTATTTATTTTATTATTATATTAATTTGTCTTAGACTCTCAAAAACACTGTATTGATCTTTGTGTTTAAACGTTACACAGCAGTGTTGTAAACGTTAAACTGAGGGCTATGATGTTGGATGTTACTGTGATACGAATACAAATGCATACCGTTCTTTATCGCATATATATTGAATCGTAACCCGTGTATCGTGATACCAGATTCTTTCCAATACGCAGCCCTAATATTATGCCAATTGGAGTTTTTAAAGTTGAGCTCCAGCTTCGCACGTAAGAGTTTAAACATCATATTGTGATTATTTTGACAGATATTTGCGATATGATTCACAATTAATGCGGCACAGATCAATTTTGCATCACACTTTTTACTTTTTCACTGAAAAAAAAAAACTATAAAAATCACGATTATGTGATTTTGGGGTGTTTTTACCAAACAAACATGTTTTCTTAAATCTGGAGAACAAGATTTGTAGGCCAGTGAATCTCTGCAGCACTACAATACTTCATTATAAATTTGTTTTGTCACATTTTTACCCCCCAAAAAAACCTGCAGCTTCTGCAGTTTGCCTATTACATTTTGTCCATTTTCGATCATATTTCGATTAATCGTTGCAGCCCTAATTGCGCCACTTCCCATCATATCCTGTCAACTTCACCAACCCCTGTTGCTGATCAACTCAACACACTTTGCAGCTCCCTAACGCTCAACCATGGGGCTCAAACTTGTGTCTAACACTGCACACAAATAACTCAAGTGCAGCCGGCACCTGAACGCCACATTAGCACTGTGAAGCGTGGCTGTTAGTCAAAGGGGGGGGGTGGTCCCACCTGTTGTTCCGATTTCCATTCATGAGGTCTCTGTCCGGATGACCCGGCACCCAGTGATCACTTCTCCCTCCGCAGGTTGAAACCTCGCCCGATGGGTCCTCCCCGGCTGACACGCCGCTCCTCCCGGCTTCGCGGCAACCCGCTCCCCGGCTTCGGTCGCTGATGTGGAACCGGGCCGCTTGGGGTTCCCCTCGGCTGGAAGCGCTCTCCCCGCGGTCGCCCCTTACCGTGAAACTGACAGCTCCAAGTTGAACAACGGCCTCCGTCCTTTCCCCTCGACGCGGCTGCTCTTGAATCTGGAAGGAGAAGAAGATTTGTAATCGGTGTTTGGAAAATGTTTGTGACAGTTTGGTGTCGCGGAGGAACGTTGAGCTAACAGTTGGTTAGCTCTTAGCCGACGACAAATAGCAACTAACTGGCGGCTCGACGCGCGAGGCTCGTCGGGACATTTACCCGGTGAGAGGTTGAGAGCTTGAATTCGTCGTGCCGGTGGGTTAACGTCACAATCCGGTGTTGTTCTTTATCAAATAGATATGAGGGGGGGTTCACTAACCCGGCGTCCTCCTCGGTATCGGCTAGAAACCGGTCTGAAGTCTGCGCTTACGCCGCCCTCCCTCCCGCGGATATAAAGCTAACGGCTACACGGAGCTACCACTTCCGGGACGCGCTCTTTCAAAACAAAAGCACGGCAAACGAATAACTTGTGTTATTTTATTTACAACAACAGTAATTAGTTACACTTCTAGGAATATTACTTTTCTGCTATTCGCCACAGAATTTGTAACTGTGCTCCTTCGCCACAAAATTCAGGCTTATGACGATTACAATCTAGTTTTGTTGGTTAAAATCAGAGTAATGTGGATGTTTCCAGCCTCTGAATGTAAATGTTTCCATCTTCCAAACTAGTTTCTTCCACAATTACAAAAATGAACCTAATATATATATATAAGGATTATTGGATTTCAAATAAGAAGGGGGCTGACAATAAAAGTAAGGTTGTAAGTCATTACTTATTGTGGGGTAACTGTGATATTATTACTGAAATGTATTAGTATTTAGTTACACTACTAGTAAGAAAGCAATAGTATTAAACTTTCTTTCTTTCTTTCTTTCTTTCTTCCTCAGTCTGAGAACCACTTAATCATTTTATATATGTAATTTAACTATTCATCAGTAGATAAAGTTGTGAAAATTGGCTCCACATTTACCAAATGCACCAATAAAATTCACTAGAATTGACAAGTTAATTCATCCTAATGATACAATAATATAATATATTATAATATTCTATATAAACACATTATTAGTACTAACTTTTGATACTTTAAGTAAGTTTTTCTGATGATTGAATGCTTCTAAAGAACCTTTACTTGAATACAATTTTGAATGTTGGACTTTTTTTTGTCGTGGGATTTCCGGTATTGCGCTATTTAACTTTGTCTAACTCGACGAAACCCTCCTCCTCCTCCTCCTCCTCCTCTTCCTCCTCCTCCTCCTCTTCTACAGAGGGAAACCCGTCAGGAAATACCAACTGTAGAACAACAACGTCACTTCCGAGAAACTTTTTTTTTCTCTGTTTCTATTTACGTCTTGTGTTGAAATAAACTCCTGTCCATCCATCCAGGCACCAAAAGACCAATAACACATGAATCCGACAGGAACCAGTAAAGGACGCAGTGTCTAATGAGTGTTTGAGCTGAGTGCATGGACATACACACTCCACACTGTAGATGTCTCCACAATCCACAGATATAACTTCTACAACAGCTCCCACACATAAAACCACAGAGGAAAATAACCAGGAACTAGTTCACTTCAGCATGAGGGACAACCACTGGCTTTCTAGAAGTTGATGGAGCTGCCAGCAACAAACAGGTGTGTCTTAACATCTTTATAACCCTCCCTGACGTAGTTTGAAACAACCTCTGCTCTAGGGTGAGTTGTTCTGTTGGTTGATGTGTGTTTTTTCTTCTCCAACAGAAGGAGGAGCACAGACTTCAGGCCCAGCAGATGGGAATCAGTGTTGGCTCTTCGCCCCTTTCTGTTGCATTAAGATGGAGAAGGTGATCAACTGTTTCAAGAGAAGGCCAGATGCCGTGAGCAGGCTGATATGCTTCCCCTGGGCAGGTGGAGGGTCCATACACTACGCACGCTGGGGCAACGTCCTCAACGGCTCCATAGAAGGTAACGCACCTGGAGGGGGGTGGTATGAGGGCTGAGGGCTGCAGAAATATGGCTGTAATTTTTTGTTTTTTAATAAAATGTTTGACAAAGGAGCTTTATAATGAAGAACTGTAGAGATGTAGAGAAGTCCTGGCCTACAAACTTTGTTCTCCAGCCCAAAAATGTCACAAATTCTTGATTTTTTGTTGTTTTTTTTCAGTTAAAATGAAAGATTGTGATTCAAAAATGATCTTTCTCCACTACTGGTGAATCATATAGCAATATCACAATATCGTGCAGCCCTGTAAGTGCTTCCCTCTGCACTGTTAAGCTCTACATTCATACTGTTTCTGACTGCTTACTGCTAATGTAACCTTTCACCTACAGTAAAAAGAAAACAAACGATGGAGGAACTTGAACGTGATGTCCTTGCACTGTGAAAACAAAGTGTACACATGTTACAGTGTGATTATATTTCTACCTGCAGTGTTTCTGAACCGTCTCTTTCAGTGTTTGCTGTCAAGCTTCCAGGCAGAGAGAGTCGAGCCAAAGAGCCGTTCTTTCAGAACATGCAGCAGATTGTGGACGAGGTTATCGGCGCGTTGTTGCCGGTGCTGAAGGAGAAGCCGTTTGCTCTGTTTGGCCACAGGTACGATGACAGTAGCATCACATCTGTCATGACATCACAGCTCAGTTATCTCCTGTGAGCTTCTTTGTGTTTCTCTGTTTTTATTCCACCACGTACATCTTTCTTGTCTTTTAACGTTCGCACTGTCCTGATCTGTTTTTAGTTTTGGTGCCTTCACGAGTTTCGCTGTGGCAGATGCTCTGAAGAGATTGCACAACCTCGAACCGGTTCACATCTTCCTGTCTGGTGCCTCTGCACCATATGTGAGTTTATTTACTACGTTTAACCACAGGTACAGTGGGTGTATGGAGGGGGGGTATACTCTTAGTTTATCCCCCAAGGGTGGCCATTCCAGCAAAGGATAAAAGCCCCCCGTGTTACAAACAGTGACATGTAAGACTTGTGTTGCATATTTAGCTCACCTAAAAATGAGCCATCATTATGAAATTGAAAAATAAGAGAGAAAGAAAATAAGAAATTATGAAATATAAATTTGTAATCTGCTATGGACACGTTTTAGACTAAATGATCCGCTTAAATTTAATGAAAAAAGAAGAGGAAAAGTATTTTGAAACATGTCTGAAAACTCAAGAATGTAATGTTTTTCAGTTAAAATATCTTAATTTTATCTTTTCAAGCAAATATTAGATGAATGCTAAAAAAAATCTATAATAGATATAATATATTAAATCAGCCACCCGTTAAAGTGGTCATACAACCCTGTTGCCACCCAGTGATTGTTGCTCTAGATCCGGCCCTGAGTGCACTAACGTCCAGATTTCCAGTTAAATTTGTTCCATCACAGGCCCCATAATATTTTATATTTCTTTCTTGCTCACAATGAGAATAATATTCCTTATGATGTTCTGCAAAGAAAAGCAATTTGGATAAACTGGTTATTTATTAAAATATAATCAGAGACCAATTAACTAAACTAAACCTGCATTGTGAGGCTGCAAATGTGCCTGATTGAAATCATTTTAATAATATGGTCAATCAGTCCAGTTGTGATGCCTTTGTGACACCCTCCAACATCCACAGCTGTCAACAACGTCTTAATTTAATATCTTTCGTAATATATATAGAGGAAGATCTTGAACTACACCATTAAATGTTTAATGACAGTTGCATAATGAGCAAAACAAACCTGTAAACTGAGCTGGAAGTAGCGTGCACGTGCACAAACATCTGGTTCCTTCTGTACACGACTGGAACAAACGAGCACTTCTAGTTCTCACTCCTTGTTGTCGATGATCTACCAGTAACGTACTATCTTTTATCTTTTAGTCAGAGACGCGTATAAAAACCCCAAAGAGAAGCGACTTATCCGATGAAGATTTTCTCAAGTGGATGAGTTCGATTGGAGGAACTCCTCCTGAGCTGCTGGCGAACCCCGAAGTCCTGAAGCTCTTCCTTCCCGCCCTGAAGGCCGACCTGCACGTTGTGGAGAACTACAGGTGCGCCGACTACTTTCTTACTTAATAAAATCTGGTTTTTAACCATTCATTTCACTGGAAGTTGCTGACTTTCCTGCAGGTGTAACAAGCCCGACAGTCCACTCCTCTCCTGCCCCGTCACATGTTTTGATGGAAAGGATGACATTCCTCATGACTTACAAGGTCAGTCCTCTGATGTTTACACACTCACTCTACCTCTATTATAGACAGAGCTTATGCAGGTTTCTGGAAGCTCAGTATCAGAAATTATGCAACATTTGGTCTCTGCAGATTCATTTAGTTTAGGAGACTGAATAGGGGTTTAAAGATGTGCCAAATAACAAAGTGTTCTAGAGAAAGACATCTGTTGTCTGTAAGTCGTCTCCATGTTTATGTCATTAATCATGTTCCTGTGTTTTATCAACAGCTTGGAAAAGCATCACGTCGGGTGATTTCACTGTCAGGATGCTCGATGGATCTCATTTTTACCTGAAGGACTCTGGGAATGAAAAAATTATATTAGATTACGTCACAAAGCACCTGGAAACATCAGAAATGGACTATTTATAATGAAATATGTACAGTCACTGTATTTTGTATCTAATTAGTTGTTTTTTTTACTAATTCATTGTGATGGAAACTAATTCTGTATAAGTTTCAACATATTGTGTGACAAATTTAATCAAACAACTTAAAGAGTCAGTCTGTCACTATTAGGGCTGCAATTTGTTGATAATTGATTAATCTGATTAGTTTTAAAGTAAGTTTTCAGAATAGAAAATGGACAAAAGATGGTGAAAAACATCACGTTAATCAGTTTGATGTAAAGACTTTGCTAAAAGGCTAATTCACATCTGCAGCCCAGTTTAAAATAACTAACTAAAATCTGACACCTTTACCGTGGGGGCTGGACGTAGAGGTGCTGAGGGGAAACAATTAGTTCATAAAAACGTTTAAACTTATAAAAGACTTTGTCTTCTTTTTACTGGGATTCACGTGTACACGGGTTTAATGGCAGGAAAGAAGTTTTACCTCATTTTATATTAGTTTTATCTGCTAAAAAAAAGCATAAAATTAGTGTAAAATGTTAACTATTAAATAGGCTAGAAATTATCCTGACCATTCAAATTAATACAAAAACCATTTATTATTATTTATTCATTATATAGACACTTTTTCAGCACCCCCAACTCTGTCTGAACTTTTCCTTTCCTCTGTATTTTGCTGAACATCAGTAGTGGTGGCTACTAGTCGTGAGTGTCCTTAGCCAGGCTAGCTATCGATCCCAAATCCAAAGATCAGTATGTTTTGCAGACAGATTTTATTAATAGTAAAGGTTTCTGACCCTGGTTCTCAACACATACAGTCTTAGTGAGGTAACTGGGCATGTTAACATGTATTAAATATATGTATATAGAGCAGCTACTTGCCACAATATTACATTTTTTTTTACAATAGTCCAACATTGATTTTAAAATAATATGAAAAAGAGAAAAGCAACAGAAAAGCAGCCCATGTTTGGCTTTTTGTTCTTGATAAATGATTTAATCAATTACTAATAAATTATAAGTAGTAGATTACCTTTCTAATAAAATCTAATCAATCAAACCAATCATTTTACTTAATACAGTGTAACTGACTCCAAAATACTTCTTTTTCTCCTTCATTTATTTCTAAATCGATACAGTTCAAAGGTCGTTCAGTCAAAGTGTTCTTTGTTGGAGGTACATAAAATATATCTAACCGATTTGAGATGGTGGAAACGTCCACATAATACCAAACTTCATTTGTGAATAAATATATTATGTCTTTATCACACATTTGTTTTTTTACAATGTTCTAATTCTTCAAGTTTCATTTTCAACCTCAAATGAGAAAAACACACAAAAATGTTATAATCAGATTACAGAGTTGGAATTATTTTCATATCACACAATTCATAAACATCTACATTGTTGACAAACATTTCTGCATTCAGGGATAAGGTACTCCACAGGGACTGGTCTGAAATGTTTGACTGGTTCACTATGAACCAGAGGAGAGGATGTGACAATGTTCAACGTGTGCTGCTAAATAACATGCCACTGTGCATACAAGGTCTCCTGCAGCTTCCCTCTGTTCAGTGAAGGGTGAAGTTAGACCAACAATGGAAGCTGTGTCAAGAGCACAAAGGTTATGGGATCGTGAATGTTTCGTTCAGACACTCAGGAGTAAGATTAAACATTGGCACGGAAAAGAAAACATTCCCTAGTCAATATTTTGAGAGTAGACAGTGCAAAGTCTTGAGGTTAGGTTCTGTCTTTGGCAGCCAGGTTAAAGGGAGATGAAGAAGGGGCTGCGTGCCGCTACATGTGGTCTCCATGTGGGGGTGCTGGTGGGGGCGGAGGCGGCGGCAGCTGGTCGTTGTCCCTCTGCTGCGCGGCAGGAGCGTCGGCCAGCATGAAGGAGTCGGTGGAGTGAGCGCTGATGCGAAGGGGAGCCAGGCGCCGCAGGTTGCTGGGCGTCCACGGCAGCCTCAGCTGGGCTCGCTGCGACGGAGCCACCATGCTGCTGTCAACCTCGGCCTCCGCCAGCCACGGAGGGATCTGCACCTGCGCCATGGGGTCCAGGTCTGGCATGAAGGCAGGATTCTCAATTCCAGCTGGATGAATGAAAGAAACTGAATTAGTGTTGCCAAGGTTTGGTGGAGAGTGCGTTAATTATTTACAGTATTTCCATATTTTAGTACTTTATACTTCGACTCCCCTACATTTATCTGGCAGCTGTGAGTTAGTAGATACTTTTCAGAATAAGATTTTAAATGAAACAATAGATTTTAAAAGACTAAACCAGTGGTTACGAACCTTTTTTGGCGTGTGCCTTAAGTTTTTTAGAGTAACTTCCCCTCTAAACTTTTCAAATGGTTTTATCTAAATAACTGTTTGAGGCTCATAAGGGTAAAATTATCCAATATTTCATAAAAACAGCAAAGTTTAGAGAAGATCCAAAAAATCTGTGGAGCTTTGAGTTGCAATACTTTGTGTTTTGTTTTCTTATCTGACCACTTGGAGGGTCCCAACCCTTATAATGCCTAACTGTATGTATAGTAATTACAACTTCCTGCACCTCGACCAGCTACAACAATATAATGCTTCCTTGATTCCTTGATAATACTTTTGTCCTTTTACTTGGACTTTTATGTGTGATGGAGTATTTCTAGAATATTGTATTGGTACTTAGAAGGTAAAGTATATGGTTGTTTCTTCCACCACAGGTTAGGTAGACATGTTTACCTCCAGCTCTGTAGGTGACCCTCATGGGGAATGAACTTGCCGATGCCTCAAAGCCGGAGGCGCTGTCTCCCTCTGAGAACTCAAAATCTACAAAGAGAGAGAAATTGTTTTTTTAAAAAGGGCTTTCATTAAGTGCTTCAACAAGACTTCTGATTCATTTTTTAAAACTGAAACAAAGATACAAACCTTCATCACCAGAATGGTAGGTTTTACTTTTGTCCAATGATTTTCCGTTTGGCATCTGCAGTAGAATAATCATTTAATTAGTATGTTACACTAAAACTAAGTTACAAGATGTGAAAAACAAAACTCTAACACACTTTGTGATTAGTAGGACGAGATATTATTTGTAATTTTTGGTACCAGTGGAGATTTTTGGTATAATAACAAATTATACTTTTTTATTACCTGACTTTAATAAATACAATCAAGTTTCTCTGATTCAACAGCAGAAACTAAAGTTTAAAATCTTAAAACTTATCTTAACACAATCAGTTGCACATTAATTGTCTCAATAAAATTGGAAAATAAGTTCTAAAGATTAGAAATCTGGTCAAATATTTGATGACAGCTTGTGATACTTGTTTGTTTGCAATTAATTGACAACCGAGGTTCAATATGCAGCCCTTATGTTATTGTTATAATGTAAATTGTCTAATAAAATGAATTCTGAGGCTCTGACCTTCTGCTGTTGGTCTTTCTTTAAGTGCTTAGTAATGTGCTTTAGTGGAGCGACGCCCATCTTTCCAGACTTAAAGGACTCCAAGCGAGTCCTCATGGTCCTCTGGAAGATCTCCTGCACCTCATTTTCATCTTTGTTGACATCGAAATGGCTCCGGCTGTACCTGTGTCGGTGCTATAAACCAGACAGCATAGAAACATAGAACAAGTCAATATGAGAATCTGAGAGCTGGATTTCGTTAAGACAAAGAAAAGTCATCTGACTGCCTGTAACTCATTACTCATCCAGAACCTTTATCATAAGTTTCAGTCATTGTTTTTAAAGGGACACTCAGTTCAGTTTACTTACTACAAACTGAGAGTGTGGGGTTTGAAAGAAATGGGCAATTAGGCGGCAGGAGGCCTCTAATGAAAGACACTATTGTGTTGCATCATGGGAAATGTAGGATAAGACATTTCTGAGGAATATTAGAGAATAAAAATCCAACTATACGAAAGTGCAATACTACATTTCTGTAGTTCCCTTTTAATATTATTATTGCAGTATATATAACGATTATATATAATGTATATATATATAATATAATGATGTGACTGCTTGCCTGTTTCCTGCCCTTGTACAGATGCTGCTGCAGCAGGTGGTGACTGTTAACGTCCTCTAACGGCCTCATACCATTCATGGTCTGCTCGTGCATTTCCAGGCTCACTGACGGCACAGGGTCTCTTCTACAGCGGGGAAAAATCATGACTTTATCACTCATACAAGAGATAGAGGAGAATTGGAGATAAATGGCCACTGCAAGGTAATTTCCACTAGTTTGGTTTGTTTCCAAGTGTGAAAACAAATGCTGTGACTGTCTGTGGCCACCAGGGCGCAGTGTCCGGCCAGATCTGAGTAAGCAGATGTTCAATGAACAAAGTAGATCAACTCTAGATTCAACTTCTTTAATTGTTGGCATGCTTTTGGTATCTTATATTTAAATATGTATACGTCTTTACATTCACAGTTGAAATGAAAAGTGTAAAAAGGAGTTTTTTAGTAGTATTGTTCTTAAAGAGTTTGTTCTCCAGCTGGCTTGTATTAGACTACCTCGCAGCTCTCCTGTGATTATGGTGTAAATCAGGTAAAAGTGTTTGCTGCTCACCTCATGTCGGACGTATCGCTGTAATCGTCGGAGGTGTCAGCCATGATGTCAGGCATGACTTCTGAGAAATCGTCATCAAACTTTTTCTTGAAGTCGATAAATGCAGTTTCATTGCGGACAAACTCCAGAGAACCTCTACGTTCACCCTGCAACATCAAGACATCAGAGTTTACCTTTACCAGCTGCTGCTGACCAGTACTGGTGAATCTTAAGGTCTGTTTCAGGTCCACAAATGTTTTCAGCACATTAACCCTCACCTCAGTCACGTAGCGCATAGCGTCCTTGAGGTTCAGCTTATGGAAGACTTTGAAGACGTAGTCGCGGTTCTTCCTCGCCGATGGCTTCATCAGAATGCACGTCATCCACTTCTCCTCAAAATTATTCCACCTTCACAGCGAGAGAAGAGATAACTGTAGCTTCATTCAAAGAGTTAAAGACACTTTACTTGTTAAAATGTTTAACACGTCTTTACATACTTGTCCCTCATGTAGTTGTGTCCTATTTGTCCAGATATATCCTCGATGGCAACAAGCATGTGATCAAACACCTGAACAACAAGAACAGAGATTCTGTAAAAGTTGCACTGTAGCCTGAAGAAGAAAATCCTCATTTAAGTGCCTGCCTTTCTAAGCTCTGTGTTGAGACACACTATTTCTGTGTTTCCACCAGAGGAACCTTCCCCAGGGAGTAGGAACCTTTGGAGGAACTGCGTCTAAATTAAATTAAGTTCTGGGGTCATTATTTTAGTCCCCAAAAAGTCGGGTAGCACTTTCCAAAAGTACAGGAACTTTTGGGATGGGGCTTTCAGCACTAAGTATTTGTGATTGATTGATTGAAGCTTCAATTGGCACTATATGTACGTATGTAGCATACTAGTATATATGTAAAAAGGTAAAAAAGTAATGCTTATGCTTGTTTTCTAAAGCAGTGGCGCTCAAATTCACCATTATAGACCGGTAAACTCAGTATTTAAAAATGGAGAGTGTATCGGTGAGAAAAGGTCTTTATGCTGAATTGCAGGTGACGTGTAAGTCAAAACAATAGAGTCGTCCAGCTGTGACAATATTTATTGATAAAAAAGAAATGGTATATGGGTGTAACCTAATGGGTGTAGACTAATTTGTCTAATCTTTGTGGGTCTTTAGACCGCGATTGGAAACACAGACAAAAAATAGTCTGAAGGAACCTTTTAGTTCTTTGAAAAGTAGTTCCTGGGACTAAAACTGGAAACACAGCTACTGATTAACAAATCCCTGGAAGCTTTTGTTGTATTGTGAGGAGAACCCAGGCTTCTATTATGGGAACCCAACTTGTTTCAGCATCTGAGCCACTCTCCCTTTTGGGTTTTGGCATTACAACAGCAGTATAAGTAACACTGAGGTGTAACCTCTTTCATCCAGGAAAGCCCAGAATTGAATTGGCCTTTTTCTTTGTTTTTGCAGATACATAAATAGTTGTGGAACCAAATGTGTATATAGTGGCTGTTTTTGTGTCTAAAAACAACAAGGAAAAACTCCCGCACACTGTCTGCCTTACTGTGGAAATGTTATATACCTGAATTAAATAAATATTTCAGCAGTAAGTGAGACAGTGTGACTGAGTTCTTATCGTTCTTAAGTTGCACCTTTCTTCTCTAAAAGCCTTGCATTAAAATATCTTTATCAATAATGTGATTGTTGATCGGGTAAGTAAGGGTAGTCAATAAGGGCTGGTCAGATGTTTAACACAGTGTTTAACACTTAGTGGCATCTAGCGGTGAGACTGCGGACTGCAACCAGCTGAAACCCCTTGATTCAACCAAAGCTCTCAAGAAATACAAAAAAGGCCTTATGAGGAGTTTGTTTTGTCCCTTCTGGGCAACTGTAGAAAGAAACATGGTGGTTCAACATGGCGGACATTCGTAGAAATAGTAGATAAAAACGTCTCATTCAAAGGTAACAAAAACATAACGATTCCTATATTCAGGTGATTATACACTAATGAAAACATACCGATGAATATTATAGTCCATTTTGGCCAATAGATCCTCCAAAATGTTACACACTGGACCTTTAAACTATTTTATAAATATATGAATAAAGGCATGTGATGCATATGCTTGTGTTAATGTATTCTAATATTTACAACACAGGTAACCTCAGTATTTAAAACAGGTAACGTAATAGGTTAAAATAAGAAAAGGTCCCTAAGCTTAAGATGTGTAAGTTGAATCAAAAGAGTTGCGCAGCTGTGATCATTTTTATTGATAAAAAGAAACTTTATATGTTGTAATTAGAGCTATATAACCTAATGGGTGTATACTGTAGAATTTTCCCAATCTTTGCTGAAGGAACCTTTAAGTTCCTTGAAAAGTAGTCCTGGGACTAAAAGTTCTGAGAAATTTGGGTGGAAAAGCAGCTACTGATTACCAGATCCCTGAGAATGAAACCTTTTGTTGTATTGTGAGGAAGGCTCAGACCAATGGCCTTTTGTCATTACAATAGCAATCTAAGTAACACTGAAGTGTAATCTGTTTTATCCAGAAGATCTGGAATTCAATTGGCCTTTTTGCTTTGTGAAACAGACCTGCATGTATGTAAACAAAAAACGTGAACTTCTGTCTCTAATAAACTCATCTGAACCAGCCACAGAATTGGACCTGAAGGATTTTTTCCCCCACACCTAGTAATGTATGGTTCTTCCTGTTGTTCAATTTTAAGATTACCTTGTCCTGCACTTTCTCTATGAGTGTGAGCTCGCCCACTGCAGCTCTCTTTACTTTAAGCCAGTTGACCAGAGGTTTCATCGTTATTCCCTGCAACAAACAGAGATTCATGCAAAAGTTAGCAAAATCAAGCAGTTATGTGTTTTGTGTAAGTAAGCTGTTTATTGTATTTTATCTTGGCAGCAAGACAGAAAAGCGGTTACCTGAAGAATAACTGTGAAGTACACCACGATGAGAGTAGTGCTGACCATCAGATTCTTCTCCTTTATTTTGTTCTCATCCAGCATCACAGCCAGGCCGTAAGCGACAGCCCCTCGCAGGCCACCGTAGCTCATAATCACCTGATCTATCAACTCCACAGGGACCAGCCTGAACTTGTTCAAGATCCAGGTGAGGAAAAAGACACCTGTAGTATACATGCACACAAAGACAGTCTGTTTTGTGACTTCTGACGTCAGATAATTTGCTGTTATGTACACAAAACTGACAGCAAAAAGACTAAATCTCACCGATGAATCTATACACCAAGACAAAGAGGAGGGTGAGGAGGATGAAGCCCGTGTTCCACACCCAGATTTCCTTATCGATGGCCGAGATGCCGAGGAACACAAAGATGATGGTTTCTGATCCGTTGGCTAAAACTTTCATGACGTATCTGACCGTGGTGACGGACCTCTCGTCCATGTTTGAGTTGATGTACTTTTGACAGCACATACCACAGAAGACGATCCTACAGAACAGAAAACACATAAACATTGTTGACTTTCATGCTTCCTTCCATAAATCCTTCTATATATGTAATAAAATGGAGACAAATAATATAAAAGAGATGTACTCACGAAAGGATGGCAGACAGGGAGAGCATCTCAGCAGTCAGGTAGGCGAGGTATCCCAAGACGAAGACGAAGCCTGGCTCAATGATCTGGATGTTTTTAGTGCATCTGGTCAGAAGAGAGATGAGCAGGCCGAACACAAAGCCCACGAGGGAACCACCAAATGCCACCACAAAGAAGGAAACTGGAGAAGGAGAAAGAGGACACATGGAGTCAGCTTGGCTTCCTCCAAAAAAAAGCCCTCTGTGAAAATGTATGCACACACACATCATCTCTGAAACCAACCCTCTGGTAGAGTCTATCGCTGCGTGCACAGTTACATTCTTCCCTATTAATGGGTAAATAAAGTCACTCCTTACTTATTCCTTTGATGATCTCCACAGCATCAATTTTGTCTCCTCCCAGTGACACAAACGCATCAAATACATTGAAGAGCACCTAAGAGAAGGAGAAAATAAATTGTTGTATCTTTGGATGCAGAATAAGGCAGAAGAAGATTAGATATGGCATACAGACATGCTATAATTACTGTATTTTTGTATTATTCCTTATCTGCAGCTCCTGTATTGTCTTTGCCTCTCACAATGTCTGTCTTGTGTTTTGTGCCTTAAATGGCAATTGACATTGTATAAAAGATATTACACAAATAACTTTATTTGCTTATTTTGTTCACGAACATGTCTTTTTAATTGGCCTCCACAGGTTTTGAATATTTTTTAGAAAAGTGTTTCCTTCACTTCCAGCAAATAAATTATTCATATCATTGTCACATGTAAATTGTTGATTATCCAGTTAACAGATGATGTGTGGGGCGTCATCTCATCTCATCTATTCATGATGAAGACCATTTGTGGTCAAAGTGTAGAATGAAAGAGGAACTGGGAACAAAGCAGCAGCGTGCAGATTATTGTAACACAACACCTGCAACAACAACAACAATATGTATGTGCGTGCAACATCTGATGATTACCACATTCAAATCCCCACAATTGGAGATTCTGACACGACAAAACCACAGTGCTTTTTTCCAATACGTCTTAAACCCTGTTAGAAAGGTGTGTAAAGTTTTGTGAGTGGCATAAAGGGACTACAACTTGCAACCCTGTGGTGTAGAACGATAAGTAAATCACACTTGTACCTTGAATAGAGTGGAATTTCATGATTCATAATACATACAACCACGTATTCTTATTAAATCAACCACCTCAAAGAGCGCTTTGAATGACCAGTGAGGGATTAAGCTCAGGCAATATGACACAACCTCAGTCAGGGTAAAGGTCCTTACTTTAAAGAGCATAATGTTTACATTCTTAATACTTCATGTATTTGAAGTGTACTTTCCATTGATGGATGTCTCAGCAAGCTCACAAACTGTCCTACTTCTTTAGTAACATAAAAAAATAAATAGTTAAGCACAGCAGTTGCACGGCAGTTGAATGGCATACGCACCACTGTCACTCCATCGTTGAGCAGCGACTCTCCAAACACCATGATGAAGAGGACCTCGTTGACATGGACTTGCTCAAACACGGCGATGACGGCTACGGGGTCCACAGCGGCCATCAGACTGCCGAAGAGAAGATACTGCAGCAGGCCGAGGTCCAGGTCACCTACAGCACACGGGGCAGGAGAGGCACTAAATTGGGCTTTTATTTAATTAGCTGAACAGGAAGTTGGAAGAACCTGTAAGAGATCAGGCCCTTCAATCACCCTTGCCTTAAAATCCAATGATTTGATGCCCTTTTGCATCGCAATAACTAGTAACACTATAACTATAACTACTACAAAGTTGCTCTTACCCATGGCTCCACCCTTGTGACACCCCCACAGCGACAGCCCCAAGCTGGCTGCGTTCCAGCAGGTCCCGATGACGGCGTAGATCAGGATGGCCCCCATGTTGCTGAAGAAGAGCTTGTTTGGCATGGAGTAGCCCGCGTCCAGGATGATTTGAGGCAACAAGTAGAAGAAGAACACTGTTGGGGTCAGCTTGAAGGTCTGCACCTTGTCAGCACCCCAAATAATCCCACCCAGAATGAAGCCGAAGCAGATGAGGAGGGCACTTTCTGGGATCACACTGGTCACATGGTGGTTGGCCTCGATGACTGAGAAAAGAGAAGAAAAAATATGGTTTCTCCTGAAATTGGACTTTCTCTAGCCAGCAAGTAGCAACTTCATATTAACCAATAACAAGAATGAATTTTCTTAGGATTTGAGACAAGCCTGTACTCAACTTTTGGGTCCTGGGACTGACAATGTTTAAAACACAATGCATCATAACTAAACCATCAAAGTAGAACTCTTTGCGAGGTTGCAAAATTTGCAAATGATCAACCGTTGAGCTCGACTGAGAAAGTGACACTTTTTGACCTGGGCATATGATTAACCAGCACGGTGGTACTTGCGACAGTTTAGAAATCTCTCTGCGTAACTAAACACAGACTTTTGCTTAAGGTTACTTGGATTAATGGCCTGACAAAGTGTCGCTAAAGCTTATTCAATAATCAAACCTACTGAACACGGGGCTGCACTTTTGTATTTCTGATATGTTCCATTCAAAAGTAGTGGGAGATTAAGATAAGGACACTTTGGAGGAAAGTCTGATATATTTCAATGTGGTGTTTACATTTGTACATGAGAACCCAAAGAAGCTTGCACGAATCTTTTTTCACAAATTCTAACACACAATGTTTTGTGGTATTTAGTATTCAGTGAGATAAAATATTAAACAATGAAGTGACTAGGAAAGGTCTAGAACTTCCACACAATCGGTGGTGCTTCCAACACAGTACAAACATGCATAAAAATAAAAGAAACTCTTCTGTTCTTTGGAACATCATGCTGTGTTGATAAGACAGCCAACCGTTCGCAGCCAGTGACACTATTTGTTACAATATTAAAGGCATATCACAGTGCATGGTTAAAGGCCCTCTCAATCAGCTTCTACCAATATCATTGGGGTACATACAACCGATGAACATCCGCAACAGCTTTCAGCCAAAGTTTGAAGAGTTATTTCACATTACAGATTTCTGTATTTATAGTTTTTATTCTTGCTCTTGAGTTGTCACGTATGTTCTTTATTTCAGAAAATGTAAGAAAAGACATCAATATGAGATATAATCATTCATGCATATGCAGTTTTCCTGTGTGTGTGCTAACAGGTCAAAATTGTAATTATTTTAGATTCGGTGGGTTAAAAATAGCTCAACATTATCTTCTTTGAGAGAGGAATTTGTTGAACTGCAACATCCAAACTAGGTGTGACATAACAGGCTGATGCTTCGCTATTTGGGCTCCTCTTAACTTCTTTTCTCATCTCATTTACCAATCTACATCATGAAAAAACACTTTTATTCCCTAAAATGTTTGTTACATACCTAATTTACCCAAACCAGCCACCAATATCCATAATGCAACTAGATAAGGGGTCTCCACGTGGTGCCACTTAAAGGTCACGATGGGTATTCCTGTGATGACGGAGCCATGGCCATGTTCAGTCTGATTCAAGTTCGATTTGGACGGATTCAAACGGGATTCTTGATGCGTTAGCGCCACGTCCCCATTCACCCGTGTGACCCCTGAGATGAGGCAGATCAGTAACACTGACCCCAACAGCCACAGGTGTACATATCCACAGCGTTGCATTTGAACAAATTAATTTAAAAAATAGTAAAAAAGAAAAGGGGCACTCCAAAAAAAAGGTCCTTTGTCTTGTGCCTGTGCAACCTCAGATGTCAAGGAGGTGATCTGTCTGTACCAAGGCCACACTGAACAGTGTGTCACACTCCCTGATCCCTCCTTTTTTGTGGCTTAGTGCGTCCTCTGTCTTACTCACGCTTTGTTTACTATCACTATCTTTTCACTACTCTATCTCCTCTTTCCCTCTAGTGCTCATCTCTGTGACGTTGTTGTATCCTCATTCCCTCCACAGTCTGTGGGTCAGCAGTGATCAGAAGTGTGCTGGACTCAGCCTTTTATATGTGCAGTATCTCCTCTGTGTGTGTGGGTGTGTGTGGGTCTGTGTGTGTGTTTAGGTTGGAGGATTAAAGGGGGGGTAACGGATGTCCAAGAGAAGTCTCCAGTTATTCAGTCACATTTAAAACACTCACCAGTCATTGCTTTGTTTGTGCTTTCCGGTCTCTAACGCATCTACTCTAGTTTGTCATGACACATTTATTGTGTGTGTGCGTGTGTGTGTGTGTGTGTGTGTGTGTGGGAGTGAGGGAGTAAGTGATGGAGCAGAGGTCATGTGATAGATGTGGAACGAATACCTGTGTGTGTTACTAAGAAGGAACATTTACACTGGGTTGTCTCACAGCTTTGGGCTTAGTAATGATTGACACTTACGTTACTCAACCCTGGTTAAAGACTCCCAGTGCCTTGACGTGAGAGAAATTAGAAAACTGTCTACTTGCAGTCCCTAAATAAACTCCTACTATGAAATAATGAAGCTATGTTCCAGTTAATAAGATTATTCCTTGTTTTTTTTGACTGTCAATAAATCCAATGGAAAGACTGAAATACCTGTTATATCTCATTCTTCTGTACCATATAGCTCCATTGTTGTCCAAACTATTAAAAGTACACTATTGAACTGGGTGACATGTTCCTTCATTTTGATGAACATGGGCCCTGTAGTTTAATCCCTCCGTCCCAATGCGGTAAATACCGTACTATAGCACCAAGTCTGTCTGTATCAAATGCAGTATTTACTCTTGTTTGAGTAACATTTACTATAAACTAAAGTTCCCAGCTGTTTCAGGAAATGATTGAGCCTTTAAAAGAATGAAACAGTATATTTGTGAGACATTATCAAAGATGTATGTGTTCAGTAGTAATCAATGGGCTTGAGTGCCATAGACAGAGCAGAGAAGATCGTAAAGTATTAAGAGACTTTTTGATTTATTCAACATCTCAAATTTATATTACATTATATGATTAGCCTACATTGCGAAATGGACTCTCCTCCTGTAAATACTGTACTTACTCCCATAAGCGCTGATTCGCTGAACCTGTTGCATTATGATCTGCATGTTGTTTGTTTCTTTTGGCCAACAGTCCCATACTGTTTGAGCAGGACAAGGGACAATAGCCTCATTGGTAAGATGAACTGGTTTAATGATTTGATACGCAAGCTCTCACACAAGCACAGGTGTGAACCACTATGTTAGTTTCCACTTCAGTTAGCTGCAATATGTGACTTCACCACTAGATGCAACTGAAATCCTACACACTGGTCCTTTAATATAATTCAGCATAATGTTTAACGACCAGAACTAAGTTTGGTCGATAGAATAATGGAAGCAGATTTATGTCTAATAGACCTCTTGTTGGTTTCTGGTGTGATCTAAATACTGTAAATGATCCAACATTAAACTGCATAGCCTGCACTGTCAAGCATGACGTCCCCTGTTCAACCTTATTAACTAATGACCTAATATATCTTGCTTAACAGCGACTGGCCTTAAACTTAAACCTTTCAATCATTCCAAATTGGCCACAGCTCTGTGCACACCTGTAAACGAGAGGTCAACTTCATGGTGAAAACGAGAGGTCATATTAAGGTTGTTTATCAGACTGGGAGGTGCAGTAGTTATTGTTTGTCAGGCAGTTGTGAAAAAACTATTTTTACTCCATGAAATGTGTCATTTGTGACCATTACAATTGGCTACACGTTCTTTTCAAATGAGTAAAACAAGACAATGAACTTAAATTACAACATTATGAGGGTGGACCTGTCAGGAGTGAAAAGGTCAGAGACACTGAGAGTAAAAGGTAAATGGACTGCTAGTCTTAATATACGTCATATTCACCCATTCACACACTCAAACTGTCATGCAAGGTGCCAACTGCTTATTAATAACCAATCCTGTTTACACACATTCATTAACCGACAGCACAGCATCAGGAGCAATTTAGGATTCAGTATCTTGCTCAAGGACACTTCAAGATGTAGTTAGTGACTCCATGACCTGAAATTAACCTAAAACTTCTGAAATGTGTAATAATTCCAGTCTGATGATACAAAATGTTTCCGCCCATAGGAGTTATTTTAATGCACTGACTGACAGGTGAAAAGGAAGCTTTCCAGACCCTGACGGACTATTAAACCTGCATTTCTTGTCCATTGTCCTTCAATTAGCGCAGAGCTGAGGAAATTGACTGCAGTGAGGAGGATGAAAGAAAGCAAGCATTGTAAATCTGTAAAGAGGAAATAAAATTTGTAGAAAGAAGGTCCCTTTGTCTGCACTTAAGTAAACTATGTAGAGTCAACATTTATAGCATGCACATATTATTTGTGTTTTGATTACTTTGTTCCACTTCCTTTAATTATAAATGTACACTCTTAACAAGAAGTTTCCAGTTTCTAAACATATTTAAAGTTATGTACATGCTAATCTTTTTCCGCAGCAGAACACATTTATTACAATGTCGTCCCGACTAAGCCTTATCTCTAAAGTGTCTAAATTTAATCCCTATGTGAAACAGCAAACTTTATAGAGGTGTCTTCTAATCCTTGTGTAAATGTTTGCCCTCTACTCAGCCTTTTTTCTTTCTAATATTTTTGTTTAAACAATTTCGAGTGTGAACTCTAAATTACCTTAAGGTAAAAGTGTGCCGATGTTGAAATATGTTGTCTTTTGCGATCTTTTTAATTCAAGAAATTTGCTAAAGGCCTGTACTTGCTAATCAGTTTTTAGATTTAAATAAACTTAAACTATGTTGAGTCAAGTATTTCACTTTTCACCAGAACTCAAAAGACAAATGTTAGTAGCTGCAGAAACCTTCTATCTCTCTGTTCATTAATAATCTCTCATGCAAGTTACTGTCAGTACAAACACAGCTGTAACATTTTTCTGCACAGAAGCAGCACAGATTAACGCTGAAGCTGCCAAAACTGACTTATCTAGTGTAACTATTTGCAGACTTTAAAAAAAAAGTTAGCTAGTTGTGTCCTATTTCATTGTTTTGTTATCCACACAGTCATTTCCTGCATCATATACTGAAAATCGCAGTCCCATATTTATGTCACTGGAGGTGTAAACACATGCACACTCATTCATTTACATTGTCCACAGTGCCGCAACCCAGTTACGTCTGTTGTGTTTACATGAAATACTAATGACCATGTTCTGTGATCACAACAAGACAAGAACTGAGGCTTCATCTGGTGAGATATCTAACAGAGGTCAAACTCTCTTTAGGCCCCCATTTGTGTCATTCAGGTCCAATTAAATAATTAAAATCTAATAAACACATTTTTTCTAATTCATACATATTTTATAGACCCAGTTGCAACCAAACCCTAAATCTTGGAACGAGTGAATGGATGAATAAAATGAGAAAGATACCCTAAATATCTGCTTTATGGCAATGCTGGATTTAATTAAATATACATAATCAGATACTCAACCGCTGACTACATGCAACAAACTTGCCATTTACAAATCACCCCATCAGCCACACAACGCAACCAATGCCAGACCAACACCGCACAGCCAGTTGAATGCCGCCGCATCCACTGTTACATCAATTATTGTTGGCTAAAGTCAACACTGTTTCATAATTCATAAATTCATAATTTAGTATCATGCGTCACGTTAGCTGGTGAAGTAATTTTGCAAACGTTTCCAGATCAGCCCCGGAGTCTGAATGAAGCTTACTGACAGCATTTTTCTAGCTATCTTACAATTTGTCCACAATAGCAAGCCATATCAGTGATCACAATACATTTCACAAATTTAGTTTTTAATTTGGACTTTGTGTTGTGATGGGACGTTTCAATTATGAGCTAATGTTAACTAGTTGATACTGCACATAGAGGCGAGTAAAAATCAGTCCACAGGCAACCGAGAAAGTCAGGTAAGGTCTCATTTTTAAAATGACGTTACAACACGTTCACACATTGGCAATAAAAGTGATTCATATATAAAAATAATACGTACAATGCTTCAGAATCTTACACATGGAAACTTTAAAGCCTCTACATAAAACTTAAAGGATGTTTTTGTGTTGATTCTGGCGCCCCCTGTGGACAGAAGCGGTAGTGTTCCCACTGCCTTGTTTCATTGATTTCAAGGGGAATGCGACCCCGTAGGGATTAACAATAACTATATAGAAATAGTCATGTTCTTGTTTGTTAACATAGAGGCAATTTTCAGGGGGAATTAATCTATATATTCACTGATATAAGAGGGATGGATACACTTATTATAATTCAAAACAAATCAACAAGATCATAAACTCCAGCTTCCAAGGAACAGTTCAATGAACACTTAAAAATCTGGACATAATAACCTCCACGAGGGCAGAATTTGTAGTTTTTGCGTGGTGTACCAAATAAACTGGTAACATTACATTTATATAATGTATTCACGATACTTAACGACACTTTACATGAGTTCAAATCATCATCAAACAACACAATAACTGTGTATTATTCGCTTTTAAAAATGAAACTACCCTACAGTATAAAAGTAGTTAAAATTAGCTCCCCCTCAACACGCTGCCACATTAAAATGCTCACATGTTAACACATCAGTAATAAAAATCCAATATATGAGAATACAAGAGCAATTCCTCATATTATTTTTACTTTTGATTCTTAAAATGGAGTTTGCTGATAATACTTTAGCCTAAGTGCAGTTATAAATACAAAACTTTTACTTGTAATAGCTGTATTTATACTTTAACTTAACTAAAGGATCTAATTACCACCCTTACATTGAAGTATTCATTCTGCCCTCTATCAATCTACCCTCAATCAAATGTTACCCCTAATGAAGCCACTCCATCACATTTATCAAAAAGATGTCTCTAAGGACAGATCAGCCTTCCATGCACAAGAGTTGTTAGGACTTACCGAGTTTGCAGAGCCAGCTGACCAGGATCCAGAGGGCCACCAGGTATGGGGTGGAAACATGCTCCCACTTCCA